CTTAATAAAAAATCTCATTACTCAAAAAGTAAGAGGTTTTTCAACCTAATCTTGTACCATATGGTAGAAAACTATATGAAGCAAATATTCAAACCAGTTTGTTAAGGATATGTAAGTGAGAACCAAGAGTTATCACTGTTTGTATTTATTGCCCAAAAAGTGCTGCATATTTCATTCCCTCCGTTACAGACATGAGTTTTTAAATTTTTTGTCAACAACTTGAAAGAATATCACAGGTTTAACTTTACCCTGTTGGAGTGTAACTCTTTCCTACATTCTGATACTTTACTTATTTCAATAGTCCCTCTAGTTTCTGAATAAGAGACATTTGAATGTAAATCTGCCCCATTTCTCTCCGTTATCACTTGACCAGACCCCTTTGTCTTTGCAGTAGTGGATTTTTTTTTGTTATTTTTTGCAATATGATAGATCTGAGATGTACAAGGTTGAATAAATAACTTCTGTGACTCATTATGGATACAAACTAATTACTAAAAGTGTTGCATTCTGCTATTTAGTTATTGCAGCTCATGTTTTTTAATATTGTTCATTTAGAATACTTTTGGGGATAATTCTACTTTAGGACTTTTTTCAATAGTATCGTTATATTTACTTCAACAATTTATCAAACTTCAAAAATAGTTATCGTGACAGTCCTACATGTTTCACCTGCTTCTCTCCATGGAGATAGACAATGAAACATTCCAGGCAAAGCAATGAAAAAGTTACATATTTAGCCTTTAGAGTTGCGTTATGTAACTCTTTGGGTGGGGGCCTGTCGCTTTTTTCTGTGGATATGTCCCCGCTCTGGCTGGAATGCTTCACAGTATGACATTAAACAGCTCTTCCTTACATTTATTCAATTACAGATGGATTTATAGCTCAGAAATACCTAGAAAAGCAGACGTTCTGACTGTGCTCGGGGTCCCCTTCCCACAGAGGTCAGACTCTTGACTTGGAACTTCAAATGAACTGTCTGAAATGAATTGTGTGTATAGTGAGTGTCCTGGTGTGATTGGTGCTGTACTTTCCCCCGTCTGGTAGATGATTTCACATCAACCTGCCGAGGGAATGAAGATGGAAATTAGCCACGCTGGCTATAATCTTTACATATATTACATTTTAAATGTTCTTTAAATAAATATCGTATTTTTCGGACTATAAGCATCACTGGATTTTAAGGTGCAATATCAATAATGTTGAATTCTCTCGTCTATTTTTTACATAAGCACCAGGTCATAAGGCACATTAAGTGAAACAAACGGACTGATCCCTTAGCCCAGGCGTCCACGATCTATTGGCAGATCGTGGCGTAAGTTGTCCGGCGTTGCCTCCCTGTCTTGGTGAATGTGTATTATGAATGCGAATGTGAGTGGATAATTTCACTTTTTTTATTTCCTACGAGGATGACTCAAATATACATTGAATAATAATGTGTTTAATGCAGCTTTGAGCACATTTGTTTACGTTTGGTTTACATTTCTTGGCTAATTTACGTAAACTAAAAGCGCTGAAAAAAAAAAAACAGCTCACTCCTTGTGCGGCTTCGTAGTTTACCAAAGTCATACTTAAACATTTTGACAGATTTTTGAGCGCTGTGTACCACATAAAATCAGTTTAAGGTCAGTAAGCACAACCAGAATTAATACATAAGGGGCACCGGATTATAAGGCGCACAGTCGATTTTTGAGAAAATTAGGATAATTTTAAGTGCGCTTTATAGTCTGAAAAATACGGTAATTTGTCCAGTTTTATACAAGAAATGTTCCAGGTGTCCCTATTTTGGACCAATCTAATACAACAATAAAGAGAGGCATAAATTGTCATTTGCGCACGTCTTATAGTCCCAAAAATAAGGTAAGTAATAATAAGATCTTACCTCTGATTTGGTTTGGTCTCCATGATGATAGAAAGATTTAATGCCGCTCTGTGAAACATTCCAGACAAAGCGATAACATCTCCATGGAGTCAAGGATGTGACGAACCCTCCACCAGAAAAATTCCACATTGCTCCTTCTTTTTGAGCCATTTTGATCAGTTGGATATGATTTATTTTTTTGCAGTGAGGTTATTTCGGTGTTAAAATGGAAGTCCAGTCCATGTGACCTCCACATCTGCTGCAGCTGTTGCACTGGACTGAGGCATTAACATGTGGATTAGGTTAGAAGCACTGGGCCCATATTAGGTGTGAGCTTAATGGTTAAACTGGCAGCGCAGCCTGAACACCGCCCATCGTTCACACAAGGGGAAAACTTCAGATAGGGTTCAATTCGCAACATATGTCACAGATAGTTTCAGATGGTGGGCAGGTCTCTATAGAAATACGGATGATTGACTGCTTTTGAAAGAAATAACTAAATAGAAAATCCACAAACGCTGAAACTTAGAATTTATTCTTGCCAGCGATCGGGTCTGCCAATTCTGTGGCGTGAAGTCCTTCCAGCTGACAGAAATCGTGCCTGAATGTTGAATTAATGGCACCACTTTTTAATGTTATTCACCTTATTCAGGAAGTTGCCGTTTTGCATAGAGCTGCCAATCTCAACCAAGCCCTTTTCAAACCTCCCGGAGAAAGGGCGTAGCGTTGACTTGTTGGTGCACGTGAACATTTTACTCAACTCGACCATAAAATCATTTCTAACGTGGAGATTTTTTGCATTGAACTTAAAGGAATTCAACTGAAGTAGTAGTTCTGTAGTTTTTAGTTTTAGCAGTTTTTGTGTAATATAGTGACCAAGGCTGTGAGAAAGTTGTGATTGATGTTTAAATTGCCCACTTTTTATTCCATTCATCCTGTTATAGGCAAAATTATTGGTTTAAAATTGTGCTATGCTACGGCAACGGTACCAATTTTTTCTACACTCAGAAAGCCATGGATTGCAACAAAAGATTTCAAAGAGTTATTGTTAAGACTTACTATAGATTTGCTGATTTGTTCAGGTTTTCATTGTTGTTTTGGTCTGGGGAAACTCTTAAAGTTCCTCTACCTCTCTTAAAAACATGAACAGAACACTTCACAGAACAGAAAAACTTCATTTTAAACAGTTTTTGCAGTGGACCAAAGTTTTTCCTCATTTACCTTATGCATTCTGAGCATCCAGATTAATCACCATGATGAGTTTAGAAGCACTTTTCACAACTTCCAGAGACTAGTAGGTTTGACTACTGTAACAGCCGCTCTCTGGCCTCTCCAAATGAGCTGTGAGCCGCTGCAGTACATCCCTGCGTCCTGTGCTCAGCTCTCTGCACTGGCTTCCTGTGGCTTAGAGACTTTAAAGCAGCTCTGTCTCTTCATGGCCGAGCTCCAAAGTACATCTCTGGCATGTTAGTGCCATATGAAACATCTGCACTCTGAGGAGCTCAGGGACCGACCCCCTGCTGGTGCCCAGAGTCCAGGACTAAACATGGAGAGTCAGCGTTTCAGATTGCAGAAGTGCTTTTCGTTTAGATGGTGACGGCCATTCTTACTATGAGCAGGGCCACAGATCCGATCTGTAACTTCCCTCACCTGCTTGTCTCCATGCAGATAGATAAGATTAATGATATACAAACTCTCCACCAGAAAAATTACTAGTTACAAAAGGATTTGGATTTGAGGTCCGAGTCCAGTTTAGGCCGAATGTAGACTTGCTTTGGTCTAGGTTTTGTCCCAGGTTTAGTTTTATTATTTGATGTGTGTTGTGTATAAATGACACTCCATAATTTTAACTTCTATTTGAGTAATTATCAGGGTTCCCACAGTCATGGAAATCCTGGAAAAGTTATGGAATTTTTTGTAACATCAATGAAAGTTTTGGAAAAGTCATGGAATTTGAGGGCCTGTTTACACTAGAACGCTTGCGGGTAAAAATGACAAAATCTTTTATCAGAAGTGCTTTTCGTTTAGACGGTGACGGCGTTTTTGGGGTCTTAAAAACACAAAAATCTGAAACCGCCCTCCAGAGTGGAAAAGTTGAATACGCTGCGCCGTAGCATTTCAGTCTACACTGCCCAAGACGCAAAACTCTGATCATATCTGCTCACATCGCATACGTGTTTACATCACATACAAACAGTACACCGAAACCAAACATGTCGGGTGTTCAAGTTGCTCTGGCAGATCTACTAAACTTACAGGAGGCTCCCAACAAATGTACAGAATGTGCAGAGATACTATTAGTGAACAGAGAAGGATCTGAAATCATCTCTGTCAAATTCTGGACGCACTAGTTCATCGCAGGCGAGCCAGACGGGTATGAACAAGACCTGGGAGGACCAGTCGATGGTGGGACAACTTCGTGGAAGGAGTAGCTGATGAAAATGCGCGACGTGAAAACTTCCGTATGTCCAAAGACGCCCTTGCTGCTTTAAGTACAAACATACCCAATCGAATTCCAGATTTCCTCCCAAAAACGCTCATCTTAACACGGAATAAAAAGAGAAGACGCTGCGCCACTTTTGCATCTTCTGTTCAGACCGTCATCATATAAACATAGCCTCATGCAGTAAAACCTGGAACAGTCTGAACATGTGAGACAGGCCTCTACTTTACTCTACACTGTTTAAATCCAGGCTCAAAACAGTTTTATGTAGCTGCGTTTGACTGAAAGTTTTTCATTCCACACTCGTCTCTCTCATTTAATGTCTCTCTTTTTAATTTTATGATGATTATTCATGTTTTGATTTGTTTGTATTGCAAGTTTTTAATGTATTTCTTATTCGGTAGAGCATTTTGAATTACTTTGTGTACGAATTGTGCTATATAAATAAACTTGCCTTGCCTTGCCTGGTGCATAGTTTTGCCCTGAGAGAGGAAATCAGCGAAAATATGCAGGATTTGTGTGTGAATGTGTGAATGAAACAAAACACAACTCCGGGTATGTTTGTGATGAAGAAACAACTTTATAACATTCATCAGAAAATAGCGTGATACGTGCTCTTCAAACTTTTCAGATCCAGGGGAAAGTTGTAGTCTAGAGTTTGCTTAATTACTATTTTGATCTGTCTGTGTGTGTTTTTAGGTGCACAGTAACAACCGTCACACCCAGGGAGTTCGAGTGTTCAGTAAAGTGGAGTGTCTGTTCAAACCGGGCCTGCTGAAGCCCTGGTCCGCCCCCGGCCTCACCCTCTCCGTGCCCCTCGATGACCTGAAGGACCCCTCCTCACGACCCATCACGCTGCCCCTCGGAGCCCAGGTCGCTCAAATCCTCCGCTGCAAGTTCTTCTTTGCGGATCGCTGGCTGCTAATTAGCGAGATATCGTTTCTCTCTGGTAAGCACAAAAGAAAATGAAGGTGCTCCACTGTGTAATTTAGGCAGTTGGCGTTTTTTTTTTTTTTTTTTTTTTTTTGTCTCGTGGAAGAAACGTAGGCCTGGATCATGATGAATCACTTAGCAACAGTCTCCTGAACAATGGGTAATTATAAACATGATATATAAATAACTCGTAGGGAGTAACATCGAGACTACAGAAGTTGCAGTGATTTGAGTTCAAAATATTATTCGTATTTCTGAATCACTTACCTCTCACTTTATTTTCTGAACTTAACTTTTCTGCTTGCTTGTTTCCATAGAGATACTGTTGTTTTTTTCTAGAATGTTCCACGTTATGGCATTAAACATAGGGTGACCATATTTCCGTTTGTGAAAACCCAGACACCTGTGCATATGGCCTCCCACTTGTTCTGACCGGGCCGAAAACTGGGGAATTTCTTGTACAAGTCATCGTTTAAATGCACATTTGCACTTCGGCATGTTGGAGACTGACCGACTGTTTGTGTCTGCTCGCTCCTTCTGATGCACAGAGAGCTGCGAGAGACTTTAATGGAGGCAATGAACTTTAATGAAAACCCGCACATTTCCATCACTTAAAAAAAAAAAACCCGGACGCCCAGGACAGGACGCAAAAAACGGGCATGTCTGGGGAAAAGGGACGTTTGGTCACCCTAATTAAACATATCTGTATTACATTTATTTCATTAGATGGGTTTACAGTGCTTAAATACAGCTTCGAAAACAGGCGTTCCTCTCCACAGATGTGACCTGTAACTTGGCATGAAGGTGGCACCTGCTTCTCTCTATAGACATACAGTAGATATGTTTAAAGCCACACTGGGGAACATTTCAGGTGGAGCAATAACAAACCCCTGTAGTGCACCTTTAATTAGTTTGACTTATTTAAGAGTGTTTCTGACCATGTTTACAAGTGGGAAAAAGTTGTATGGGTGGAACAAAACATTTAAATGGCTACAAATGGCATCCATAACACACAGCAGAAAGTGGAGTGTTAAAACTGACTCTAATATTTTATATATTTTTTATATTTTTCGAAAAGTGTATGGGAAAAATTTACAGAAGCAGCTGGTCTCTATCGAGCTCCATTACCTGGAGGAACTTGGGATTATTTCGTTTGCGGTGCATTTTCAATTTGTTTTTACAATAATGTTTGACAATAAGCAAACAATAAGCACTTTGTTTTGAGTATTAGTGCATCCACGCAACAAAATATGCAACATACAAATCTGAAAAGGCCATGTGCCAAAGCTGCCTCATACATTTTGTAGAGATAAAAGCTAGACAAACAGTTTTATTACTATATGTGTACGAAGTATACACATTATACTACACATCAAAAAGTGGAGTGTTAAAATTGACTCTTACAGAATAAATTTTAACATTTTCTCAGGGTATATATGAGTCCAATCTGTTCTAGAGTTAATTTAACATTTTTGGAAATGTTAATTAAGCAACACTGGACCAAAGTTCCTGTTTAACGCCAAAATCAAGAGTTATATTAATGTTTTGAGAGTAAACGGATAACACTTTGAAGGGTTATTCTAATTTAGCTGAACAACACACAGAGATCTTTTATTCTTACCCTTTATTTGACTTGATTTAAGATTAAATTATATATAAAAGTGGTTCAAACTGGTCTTCTCTCGTGGGAGTTTGAAGTGGTGTGTGGGAAGTGCCAAATTAACACTAAGGAAAGTTGAATTAACACTAGGAGAAGTTGAATTACCTTCCAATTTGAACCCGCATGTAACTTTTAAGTGGTTAAAATAACAGTTTTTATGTTAAAAATAACTCACCCTGAAATTTTAACCCTCAAGTTTTTGCTGTGTGGGAAAATGTCATGTAAGTAAAACCCATCAAATAATTCCTTCTTATTTCAAACAGAACTTTTATTTCCGGGTAAATTGTTCAACTCGTTAACTTCATTCTAAATTCCAGTCATGTTTTGCTTTTGATATGAAATGATTCAGTGTACGAATAAATTAACTTTTAGCGCTCGCTGGAAAGTAGTTTGGAATCTAAAGTGAAGACAGGTGGCCGTGTTCTCATTGGAAGTACTGTATATAGAGCTCTACAGTTCCAAGATGGCGCCTAATTAAAGTGTCCTTTGTGCTGAACCCGGCTGTCACTCGGTTGGTGATAAGAATCAGCTTGTGTGCGCGTGTGTGTGTGTGTGTGCTTTTGTGTGTGTGTGTGTGTACCTGGGGTTGTTGAAATGATTTTGGACCGGCTCCATTTCTCTGATGAATGATCCGCTGGAGCTGCCTGGAGCACTGAGAGCTTGGGCCCTCTTCACCAAAATACTGCCAAATCCAATGTCTTTAGTGCTCGGACGAAATCTGTCTGATATAAGGTCGTGCAATTCATTTAATTTTAAACAAGATTGAGGTTCCTTCATTTCTCATCTGCGTTGATATAGTTGGGTCGTTTTGATCGAAAGTCAAAACATAATTTCACAGTTTTCTTGGTCAAAATGCAAGTCTGATCAAGAAAGCCATTTGTATTTGTTTTTAAAAGTATAAAATAAAAATTTAAACTCGGAATTGATCAATAAATGAGCAGAAAAACTTTTGTATATTGTGTAAATTTGTGTTTAAAATGGCTTGATATAAGATTTTGACCATATTTGAGTCGATTTTGGAATAAGTAGGTCCTGTTGTACTGGTATGTTTTCCTCTCGTAGTCAACTGTACTTGAAAGGATTAGTTTATTTTGAATGGCTGGGCAGGGGTTGGCCTCACTTCCTGTTTTTTTTCCTGGGATGTAAAAGTGTCATAGCGGGAGTGGGAAGGCAGAGGAACCAGAATGCTCACGGAATAGTTCTTTTTTCAAACCAAGAGCTTGTTTTCATGACAGTTTCAGCTGATTTAAACAGGTTTTGGCGCTGCCTTCCTACCAGTGGACGCAGGACGACAGCGCCATCTGCAGTCCGACTTCCTCAGGACAGTATCCCAGGTGTGTGAGAGTAAAAAAGCCCCCTCGTCCCGATTTATAGCCCTGCCAAGACAGCGCCAAATCCTGTATAAATCAGCAGACCGGACACGTCACAGCAACATCACGTGACCACTCCCAGGAAGACCGCAGGGAGCAGTCGAGGAGGATTTGTTGATAGCGCATGGACACATAGCTGAGAATCTGCTACACGACTGATTTAAAAGCATCCCCCTAACACTCGAAATTACCACAAGAAGGTCTAGAAAAAGCGATGATTGGGGGCTGATCAAAAAAAGGACAGAAACATACGAAGAAAGCGGACGTGGATGAAGATATACCGAAAAAAGACGCGGAGCAACCCCAAATAGAAGATGGCTATGAGCTATCTGCTGGACTCCCTAACGCTAAGTAAAATTCACAAAGCTCTACAAAGTTTCAAGAGCGAATTCATAAGAGCAGTCGAAACTGTCAGGTATGAAAACAAACTCTTGGTCTTAAAAAGAACCTTATAACGTAGAAAAAGGTATTATTTTTTGTACGTTGTATATGATTTATATGAATTGTATTGTCTTGGTTATAAATTAATCACAGGATATGTTTTCAGCTCTTACGGTAGCTATGTGCATGGCAAATAAATACATGGGAAAGACACATTCATCTGTACGAGCCATTATTCAGCGAAGACTGCTAAAGTACTTAAGATTGGATAAATGACTTATTTCATTAAAGCAACACTGTAACTATCAGGAGGGAGCAGATCGCCTCCGTTTAAACCTTACTTTGGAAAATTGCCCATGAAACATTTCACGTCATATATGTAAAGATTATTAGCCAGGCTTGCGCCGCCACCTAGTGCCTCCGCTCAGTTTCACTTCTCTCCAGCGACTAGGTCAGGAATCGGAATACACTAGACGGTTTGCAAGGAAGCCCAGAAGTGCGAGTTCGGGCATCAGCCAATCAGCGAAGAGCCAGATATTCAGTGTTGGCAACGAGTCCCGAGATTGAGAATTTAACGCCGGAACAAAGAGAATGTTTGGTGAATTTTATCAAGGGGAAAGACATTATTGCTCTTCTTCCTACTGGATTTGGTGCATTACATACATCAAGACCAAATAGCAGCGATTGGTTAAATAAAAAAAGTACCCGCTTACCGTTGACCAAATGAATCCTAATGCTGTGAGGTCAGATGGTTTCCACAAAGTGAAACCGGCTGATGAATCAGGCTAGAAGATCATAGCCAAAAGAACAGCAATTTCTATGGAAACAATCAGGAACAGGTCCTCGTCCAGGTCAAATGAGGGTCAAGTTTGTGGAGATGCAAGCCCACTCAGAGAAGGACGCGAGTTTTTCCATACAATAAAAGATAATTTGCATTTATTTTAGTATTTTATTGGCACAAAAGTTATGTATTGGGCTTTTGTTGTTTGTTTATACATTGAAACTCAAGATGACAAAGATTGGTCAGACAGCTATGTGAGAACTCGCAAATCCAGATTAATTTATTTCCTATTTTGAAACCTTTTATGAATGGAATGACCACAACAGCTGGAGACCCTCTGTGCACAATGAAAACATCATAAATAAAGACAAGAGTGATTTTAAAAACTGTCCTCCCCTCTTTGCTTGTTTCAGAGCCCGCAGATCCATCGGAGACGGATTCAGTTCTTCCTAATCTCCCCGAAATCCCGTATTTCAACAGTTCCGCTCTTCCGCCCATTAACCCCAGCACTCCCACTCCAACCATCACCTCCTTCAACACCACCCGGCCCAATGGTAAGTCCACTCCCCCCTTTCTTAAATCTACACCATTCTTTCATCCTGTCTCCAAGTCCCTGTCTCTCCCATGGCCCTTCTTATCCAAACAGAGTTGTACTTCATCTGCACTGCAAAAAAGAAAGATATATCCTGGGTTAAAATGACAAGAATACAGAGGAGTCATTTAGCTGCGGCATCAAAACTGACTTTACTAAACCCAGAAATAAACCAGGCCTAAACTAGAACTAAACCAGAACTACTCTTGAACTAAACCAGGAATAGACAAGGACTAAACCAGGATTACATCGCAATTAACCCTGGACCAAAACAGAGTGTGAACACATCCTGGGTTAGAGTGAATAGTTTATAGAAGATCCGAGCTTGTTTCATTTCACAAAGGGGTGTATCGTATTTTTGGACTATAAGTCGCTCTGGAGTATAAGTCACACCAGCCAAAAAATGTGTAATGAAGAAGAAAAAAAAACATATAAGTCACACTTTCTGGGGGAAATTTTTTATAAAATCAGAGACCAAGAACCAACATTTCATCTTGAAAGGCAAGTTACAGTAATAACAATAGAACAGAGAACAACAGACTGTTAACGTCACATATGAACAGTTCTTCAGATAATTATAACATAAACAACAGAACAGAACAAGTTTAACAAACTCTCCATCTCACTCCAAATCACTAAATCCACTGAATTTTTCATCCTTGGTGTCACTTCTGAGCAACTCCGTGACCTCCGGTGTAGCTGTCGTCAGACTCAGCATCAGTTCCAGTTAGAATTATTCCGGCCTTTCTGAATCCCGACAGGATGGTTTCTGTGTCACTGAAGTAACTTACATTTTACATTTTCAGTGGTACAGAAGTAATGGTGCGATCGACTGACATGATACAGACAGGACAGTGGCTCTATATGTAGAGCGCCCACTCGCCCTGTCGTTGTGAAAATTTTAATATATAAGTCACACCGGAGTATAAGTCGCAGGAAACACCTAAACCGTGAAAAAAGTGCAACTTATAGTCCGAAAAATACAATACTAATATAAACATTGGTATTGGTATTGAGTATCGGATCTATTCCAAGATACTGGTTCAGGGTTTAGCAAATAAATTAATATAATTTATTGCAAAAATATTTACTGGAACATTGTTGCCCCAGAACATGCCTTTTCTTAACTGTTTCGTTGAAGGATTAATCATTCGTAATATTTGTGTTTAAGTGAAAGAAGTATACACTTTCAGTCTGTGCACTAGAGTCTGTTGAGATATGGAAAGGTTGAATTGAGTCATTGTTACTGATTTGTAGAAAATGAAGCCTGAAATATGACTTGCATTTATCTTACTCTTTTGACTAATACATTGTCAGTAGGTTTAACATCTCAAAACAACAGGGATGAGACGAGACACAATTTCTACAAGACGAGATTCAGTCCACGAGATCGAGACATTTGAGATTTTGATGTCACTTTTGATAAACTGTTCACAACTTTTGCTTCATTTAATTCTACAGTTCTGCTGTCACTGGAGCACTGTTTTTGGTATTACAGCTTCTCAAGAGGAGTTACTCGACAAAATTAATCCCTTTTTTTTATTCAAAGCAAATATGAGGAAAAAATCTCACCAGATCATTTTCCTCATGTGTGCACAGTCTTGTGGCAATTTGTCTCTTCCTCTCTACAAAACAAGTAAAAAAATAATAATAAATTAGGTCGTTAAAGTAAATTCATCTTCCTTTCCAAGCCTCTTCTGTATTCAAATCATTTTAACACTTGTACATGTCTTGTTTTTGCAGTGTACTCCCTTTGTCTTTATTTTTCCCATGACCCTGTTGCGCAAACCAAAGATTCGTGCTTTATCTACCTCCCGTCTCCTGTTTGATTCTTGTCTGCGTCTTTGTCAGTGTTGTAGAGATGAGTTTGAGCATGTCTACAGAGACTACAGTGTTTTTTGGGGTTTTTTTTAAGTCAAACCAGGCACTGCCAAAAGAGGCCTGGGCCCGAATCGCCTCCTGCTTGTATCACAGGCTTTAAAATCCTCTGGACCACAGCCAGGGATCTCGGAGCATAACTTAGCATACGATTGCAATCTTCAGCTCTTTATTGCACAAAATGAAACAGATTTATCTCCATCTGTATCGCTTCAAGATCTGAGAGGTTCTAGTCTATACATTGTTTAGTCTTTAAAATCCTTATGGACAAAAGCAGATGGATCAGAGCATTTTCAACTGAATGTGCAGGAAGATGATAGTTTTTTTGTTAAGGAGACATTTTTCACATTATGCAAAATCATCTTTTAACTTTTAAACACATTATACTGATTTCCCGTGTCGTTTATCCACTCAAAGTTGGATTTAGAGTGATTCATGCGTGTTTATTCTTCTGAATTGAAACAAAAATTCCCATTTTCCCCTACACCTCAAAGACGGCCACTACATTAGATTTATTAAAGTTTGATTTAGATGAATACTGTCCTGAATAGTGTCAATCATAACATTAGAAAAACATAAAACATTCTCATAAAAGTGAGCATTGTAAACAGGCTCCTGCAGTTTAGTTTACTTAATTCTGCTTTTTTTGTTCTTAAACTGTGACACTGTTAACTTTGTAATGATAAAGTTTACAGCGACTTACCGTAAAAGGGCAGGCGGGCGTCAGCAGACTTTTTTTTTATTATGTAATTTTAGATCAATATTGCAATCAAAAGTCTGAGTGTCAAAGCACAATATGTCTTCTTTTAAAACTCCAAAAAGTAGAGATGAGCAGACTATAAAGCCTTGATATTTTTAGTTTAGACTTAGACAAACTTTTTTGATCCACAAGGGAAATTATTTGCACACAGTAGCTCACACATCACAATATAATTTAATAACAAAGGGTAAAAATGTGAATGCTAATAATAAGCTTCAAATAAGTAGCAAAAAAGAGCAAGTGACAGGTGTCAAATAAGGCATAATTATATAAATGTTAAATGTAGAAGTCAAAATAAAACTGAAAAATAAGTAATAAAAGGTTTATACAAGAGGTAATGGGAAGACAGTGCAACAATGATATGATGATTGACAGGACATAAGGTTATCTGTTACATAAAGGTGAAGTGTGCAATTGTAGGGAGTATTATCTGTTACATACACTGCAAAAAGCAATACCAAGGTGAGTTAAAATGACTTAAATTAAGAACATTTTACTTTATTTGAGTCGATTCAACTTGACAAGTAAAATTATCTACCAATGGAACAAATGTGTTTTTCTTAATTCAAGCAATAATTGATTTTGTTTCTTATTTTAAGAGCAAAAAGTTGTTGTTTTTTTCTTATCTTAAGTGTAGCAAGATGTACTTTCATATTTTAAGTACGAAAATTCTTGTTCCATTGGCAGATAATTTTGCTTGTTAAGTGAAATTTACTCAGATTTTAATAAAACTTTCTTAATTCAGGTCATCTTAACATGGCTAGATTTTAGTTTTTGCATTGTAAAGGTGAGTTGTTGTACAGTTGTATGGAGTATGGTATGAATGTACCGTATTTTCCGCACTATAGGGCGCTCTGGATTATAAGGCACGCTGTCATTGAATGGTCTATTTTTGAACCTTTTTCATATAAACCGCACCGGACTATAAGGCACATTAAACGAAACACAACAGTTAGATAAGTCAGTCAAACTTTATTTAACGTGTTCACAATAACTCTCAACTTTGTTCAAATGTAACTCGTAAAAATAATACTGTCTGAGACACTAAATTATCGTATTCACAGTAACTCATAATTGTTCAAACAGTTGGGCGATTACGGCGTCCAGCACACCACATCCCTCTCGTCATTATCCGAGTCAGTGTGGTTACTGTTCCCTGGCAGTTCAGTGATGATTCTGGTCTTGGTAAAAGCTCGGACCACAGTTGATACTGATCCTTAGTCCAGGCGTCCACAATCCGTTGGCAGATCGTGGTGTAAGTCGCTCGGCGCTGTCTCCCTGTCTTGGTGAATGTGTGTTCACCTTCTCTCATCCACTGCTCCCACACAGCTCACATTTTAACTTTATAACAGCCTTGAGTTTCAAGTCGGCGTTGTGAGCGTGTCTCTTGACAGGTGCATTTTGATATTAAAAGGAATCACAGTATGTATTACTCTGCGATGCTTCTGACTAGGTGAGCCGTAATGCTGCAAGTGGTGCGGCTTTGCAGTTTACTAAAGTCGTACTAAGACAGCCCAATAAATTCATATATAAGGCGCTCTGGATTATAAGGCACGCAGTCGTTTTTTGATTAAATTAAAGGCTTTTAAGTGTGTCCTACAGTGCGGAAAATACGGTAGTCCTTTATCTCTCACTGTTTGAGCAGAGTTGTAGTTTACATTTTTCTTTTAGTAGTTTTCGAGAGTAAATTTGAATCACCTTGAAAATGTGAGTAAAGGTTTTGTCTTATCCTATTGCTGTCTAGGGGTCTATTTAAACATTTTATTTATTCTTTATTTCAGATTGGTTCATGTTGTTAAAAGAAACGAACAGGATACAAAAGTCGATAAAGTTCATCGTGATACACTTCATTTTATTTTGCTGGTTTGGTTCAAAAGTTGTAGGAGAGATTTCTGTTCAAACTCCTCTTCCATTTCATTTCTTTCACTTTATTTGTCATTGCTTCATGTTCATGTTTCTCTGCTCCTTTGTCCATCCTCCGCCCCATAGACCCCCAAAACACCACCTCCTCCTCCTCCACCTTCACCACGGAGCCCCCCGGTAACTGGACCCTGTCAGGTGAGACCCAGGTCGGACCGCGGGAGGAGAGCTGGCTTCATCCGGCTCTGGCTCTTCTCCAAAACCCTAAACTCGTCTCCCGGGTCGACACAAAGCATGAGGAGCAGGAGGGAGGGAGGCTAAAGACTTTGGCACTGGCTTTATCCCCTGGGCACAAAGATGTAGAGGTTTAGGAAAAGAACTAACAGAGCTGTAGTAAGATATACACTGTACAAAAGAATATCTATACGAGCTCAGATGTCATGTTTTCAGGACATTTTTCATATTTTGAGTAGTTTGACTTGTTTTCTTTTTATTTAATCAGTAAATCTAATAGTGGACTAAAAATATTCTTCACTTTTTACATTATAACACAATAACAGCATGGTAAAAAGATGGAAAAATAGTATGGTAACTAAGGTATTTCCCAGCCCCATTTCCCCAAACCGTGTTTCCTGGTATTGCAATGTTAATACAGGGATAGAATATCTTAAGATAAGGGGCAATGACAGATGCAGGTCTGTTTTCGTGAGTTATTACCATGTAATTGTAAACCGAAAACATGCACAGTAAGTCAAATTCTCCAGCTAAGACAGTCCTGACTAAAAATCTGGAGACAAAGATGTTCATTTTGTCTTCTTATGTACAGAACTTTAACTTCTTGGGTTCTTTAGGGATGTAAAAATAACCGAAATATCGTGATATCGTATTGTCAAAGTTCTCACAGTAATATCGTGGACCATCACAATATATCGACAAGTCTCTTTGCTTAAATTAAGAGTTATGGTGCAACAATAGTTTAAAAAAAAAGACAGATTGAACTACATAGACCATGATCCTTTGCTCCATTTCAGTGCAGACTACAAGAAGAAATAATAGTTCTAAGCAGTTTTAAGTCTTTGGATTAAGTCTTGTCAAGGCATTTTAAGAGGAAAAAGTAGCATATTAACAATTTTAGCCTCCATAAAATATCGCAATAAATATGGTACTGTGAGATGTATATCGTGAAAATATCGTACTGAGAGATTTGGATATTGTTACGTCCTGAATCGTGAGCCTCCCCACCATATCGCCTGCCCCCGCACGCCACTCTCTTCCCGACAGCTGCCCAGGCCGACAGCTCGTCCACCAGAAAAATTACACAGTGTACCTCTAAATGTTTTTGAGGAGTCTTTGCGCCCCTGCTGGCCAACAGTGGAAAATGCACCATGTCCAGCTTTCCCACGATATCGCAATAAATATCGTACCGTGATGATATCATATCGTGAGATTTGAATATCGTTACACCCCTAATAAAGTGTATTTACCTAGTTCACATATTTCTGCTACTGCTGCAAGCCATTGCAAAAACAAAAAAGAACCCAAGAAGTGAAAAATCTGGAGATTAGACATTGAAGAATGGGTCAAATCCAGAGAACAAATTTCTTTACGAGGACAATAAAGTGGACCTTAACCTTAATTGTAATAAGTACGTTTTTATAGTTAATGATTTATGGCCATGCTGTTATTATTCTGTAATGTTCAACCAAACTCATGACTAAAAAGAAAAAAGAAAACTTACTTACTTCACTGATAAATCTGAAAGGAAAACAAATGAAGCTTATAATGTCATTTAACAAGCCAAAAGATTAAATCCTACTGTAAGAACTACTGTATCTAAGTCCAAACTACTCAAAACATAAAACACTTTCTGAATCCAAGCCATTTACTCATGGATACTCTCATTTTTACAGTGTACTTGTTGCAATAACGACTTGGCATCCCGTAGTCTTACACGCTGCATGTTGTGAGGGCTCCAGCCTCCACTCACTCCACTAAACAAAAACAGGTTTCTGACACAGACTGTAAAAGCTTTTGTGTGGCATGTACTTTGTCCTTTATTGGCTGCGGTTGGACACTTTTGCACCGGTTTAGTGTCAACTGTGTGAGCCGACGCAGACAAAGAATGCAGCGCATGATCACTCTTTGTCTCATTGTACAGTAACACATGCATTGGATCTGAATGCATGGAGATTGGAGCGTTTTCTGAGTGCGGATTTAATGTAACTCGACCAGTTTTATGGCCTTTATCATCACACAAAAGGGAAGAAAAAGCACTCACTGCACACATCTTTGCCAGTTATTGTAAATCATATTCACTGTACCCGATTTTTACTGTCTTAAAAACATGGAAAAGCAAAAGTAGTTCATTTTACACAGTTTGCAGTGATCCAGAGTTATTCCTCATGTAATTAAGTTAAATTTCAGAGGCCAGAAAAGAGGTTTATCATCATTGTAATGCTAAAACAACTAGCATGCTAACAGCGCACCGGCCTTACTTGCTGGTTCTTTGACGATAAAAGCCCTTTATAGTTAGATGCTGAGACATTTTGACCCTAAGACGCTTACGTCGCAAACCAGGACGACATTTGGAAACATGCGATGACGACTTCCAGCGGGCTCTGTTCGCAGTCGAAACAAAGTCTATGAAAAATTAGAAAATGCCCCAGTTTTTTTTTTCATCTAGTCTGATTCATCAGCCGGTTTGATTTGATTAGATTTATGTATTTATTTTGGGTAAGAAGTAAGTAAGAAGTAAGAAGAAATGTACATTCTTTTACAATGGAACACATAACATTAAAGAAATTATAGCAGAAATAGCAACAACAACAAATATATTTATTTTTTTTTAAATGTCTGACCTCGCAGCATTAGGATTCATTCGCTCGACGGTAGGCAGGTACTTTTTTATTTAACCAATCGCTGCTATTTGGTCATGACATAATACGAAGAAGGGCAATAACGTCTTTCCTCTTGATAAAATTCACCAAACATTCTTTTTGTTCCAGCTTTAAATCCCCGATCCCGGGAATCGTTGCCAACCCAGAATGCCCGGCTGCGTCTACATCCATCTCGACCGCTTTGTTTACTGTTGTGCTGTTCCACAAAAGGGACCCAGACAGATGCTTGAGTTTGACGTCATGGCTTCACAGCTACTACAAATTTCTGGGGTTCTTGCAAATCGTCTAGTGTATTCCGATTCCTGACCTAGTCGCTGGAGAGAAATGAAACTGAATGAAGGCACTAGGTGGCACCAGCCTGGCTAGTTTGCTGTAGTAAGTTTGACAAAAACTTGGAAAAATGAGAAAACGTCCCAGTTTTCTTCATCTCCATGTCATTTTAGCGTTCCGTTATGTTCGGCTAATGAACAATTGAAACCATACCTCAGTTTTCATCATTTCTCCATTGACACACAACTCCGAGCGCACTGGGTACATGCGATTAGAAGAGACAAGGAGCCAAATACAAGATGATTCCAAACAGCACATACGTATGCAGTCTTCATTTTACCGCTGATCACATTTATTTCAGTGGGTTTTGTAATAGTCGGTCGGCGAGCCCAGTGTCGGGAACTACACCGGAAGTTGTCATCGCATGTTTCCAAACGTCTTCCTGGTTTGTGACGTAAGCGTGAGTAGAGCCTAACAGGTTTTACTTTACTATTACTTCAAGTCATTTTAAAGTAGAACTGGGCAAAGTGTGTACTCTTAGCTTCATACTGACTTTAAGGGCCAAGGGTTAAATCCACATGTCACTCACATTTTCATTTTTTTATTATGGGACATTTTGAAGACTTTTTACCATTCAAAACAAGTTATATTTTGTTTTGAATACTTTCTTGGTCCTTTGAAATACTTGGTGCTATACATAAACACTTGCCTTTTCTTTTTTGGATGGTCACATTGATTGTCAGGACTTACATCGTGCGCACTTACATTAATAATTTTATCTTTTAGGACCAGAATTGGCTGCCGTGTCACCGAAGGCGGGGCTTCCGGTTGCCAAAGACGACAGCAGTAACACGGCGATTCTGATTGGCTGCCTGGTGGGGATCATCCTGCTGCTATTGGCTGTTATCGCCGTCATTCTCTGGAGGCAGTACTGGAAAAAGATCCTTGGCAAGGTGAGCTCTAGTGTTATACAACCATTCCTGTTCTGCCGTGTCTGCTGATTTACAATACATGTGGACCCTATGTGAATTTATTTAAGAAATGTGTTCAATCATTTATTCCTTTATTATTTTAACACTGTTTACAAAAAACACACAAGCCCATCACTTATAATGATTTTTATGTATAATAAAAACACACTGAATTTAAACCTATAAGTAATGTTAGCTGGGGGCACAGTAAATCTTCCACTGTAACTTGCTTTAGAATGACTTACCCATAGTCTGAATAATACTAATATTTATATTTTTTAAATTTTAATATTGTCAAAACTTATTAAGTAATTGTAAAGTGAAGAGAACCATTTATGCAAAATACTTATACTTATTATAACGGGCTGTACTTCATTGATTTATTCGTGTAATTAAATCATGTAACTTTTCTTGTAGAGGGTTCGTCAAATGCTTGTTTCCATGGTGATGTTATTAGCTTGCTTGCTTTGCCTAAAATGTTACACAGTATAGCCTTAAACTTTTTTTTTATCTGGGATTTATTCAGTCACAGGCGTTTCTTTGCTCAAAAACAGGTATTCTTATTGTGAGGAAGGTCGCCTCTTAACAGATCTGACCCGTGACTTGGCCTGGTGGCATCGCTCGCTTGTCTCCATGGGTATCATTAAGAAGTTGCCAATACGATTAAATCTCCAACAGATGCAGATTTTTATTTTGGGCCAACAAACAGCCTCAAAAATACGCATAAAGCTTAATTTGAACACTTAAGTACAAAAAGGGTACAATACAAAATGTGACTAAACAAGTATCAGCAGAAATTAATCATCGGACATGAAAAAACATATTGGTCGATCTCTAACTGTAGACCTGTCATGATAATTACGATTTCAGTTTATCATTCAATATATGAAAGTTGGAACAATATCATGTGTACATTTTCTTTGCAACAGTGGGACATTTTTTGTTATTATATTGTAATACTATGGGTAGGGTTAGGGTTTTTTGTTGGTTTTTTTGCCATTTTGTTTATTGCAGCTCATGTTATTTTGATTAAAAGTTTACAAAAACTCTTGATTGGGATTATATGGCTTTAGGGTTTTTCTGTCACTGGTATAAGGTAGTTTCAATATTATCGTTTATATCAGGGCTGTCAAACTCAATTCACAGAGGCCAAAACTAAAAACTGGGACTAAATCGAGGGCCAAAGTAAATATTTACTGAAAAATTTCAACAACATCTGCATGTTTTTGCTTCTTTCGAGATATGTAATGTTAAACCTTTTCTTATTAAAATAAATGTTTAATAATAGTTTTGCTTAAACATTGAATCCAGAACAAGCAAAATATAAAATAATAACATTTTAAATAAATAATGTCTCTATAGTCTATCTGTAGCCAGTGGGCCTGCTCTAATACATATTTGAAATGATCTCACAGGCCAAATATAATTATATCGCAGGCAAAATTTGGCTCCTTATCTGGTTTATAGGGATGTAATGATATCCAAATCCCATGGCAAGGCAAGTTTATTTGTATAGCACAATTCGTACACAAAGTAATTCAAAGTGCTTTACAGAATAAGAAATACATTAAAATCATAATAAAAACAAATCAAAACATAAATAATCATGAAGATAAAAATTAAAACGGTACGATATTTTCACAATATACATCTCACGGAACGGCATTTATTGCAATATTTTGTGGACAAAATGCTACTTTTTCCTCTTAAAATGCCTTGACAAGACTTCAAAAGTGCTTAGAACTGTTATTTCTTCTTGTAGTCTGCACTGAAACGGAGCAAAGGATCATGGTCTATGTAGTTCTCTCTGTTTTTAAGCTTTTGCTGCACCATAACAATGAATTTAAGCAAAGAAACTTGTGATTCGATATATTCTGATGGCCCACGATATTATTGAGAGACTTTTGACGAAACGATATCACAATATTTTAGTTATTGTTACTCTCCTAATCATTTATCGTAATATATTTATGCAGCATTATATCCTGACAGGCCTATCTAACACAAACACATTGTCTTATCCCAGGCACAGAACAGCCTCTCTGGCGACGAGCTCCGCGTGCACCTCTCCGTTCCCTCCGATCACGTCGTCATCAACAACACTCACAGTTACTCGAGCCGGTACCAGCGCATCCACACCTTCCCCGACGACCGCGACCACGAGCGAGAGGGCGAGGGCGAGTACCAGGAGCCCAGTGCCCTGCTGCGAACACGGGACCAGAGCAGAGACAGCACCGGTGAGTCCAACGCATCAGAAGAATAAGATAATGAAATAAAAACAATGAAATGCAGACTTAATCGAGGATAAATATACAGTATGTCTCATCCTGTGTCACTCCACCACTCAGGGATAAAGAAATGTTTATACGGGGAAAGTTAATTAAAGTAAGAATAATATACCTAGAGCTCTTCAACTGTTTTATTCTCAAATTATTAGCAGATTTTGTATATTTATAATGCAAACCTTTATGGGAATGTCTTATGATTGGCAGTATTAGCGTGTAATGTTGTCTCCTGCAAAGTCAGTCTTCAAATAATCTAATATAACATAATAAACTAAATAATATACAGTTAAAAGTTGTATAAACACATACAGGAAATAGTTTACTGAATGTGTACAGTTGCAAGCGAAGTATAAGTATCAGAGTAGTATTCAGTTTTACTTCTGTAGAGTAAAAGTGAAGTAAAAAAAATATTGATTTCAGAATAATCTTGTTTTGAGTCATTTAAAGTAGTTAATAATTTAGTTAGATAACAAGTGTTTGATTGTGTGGCTTGTTTTGCTGCTTTCTATTTTGATATACATTTTATTTTCTTATTTTATGCAACAAATATTTAGCCCAGTTTAGCCCTGGAGTAGACCTGGTTTGGTCCTGTTCCAGTCCTGGTTTAATTCTGGTCTAAGTCCCAAGTTTAGTTCTGGGCAAATATCAGTGTACATCCTTATTTAATGCATTTTTTTTTTAGCTTGCTTTCTCCTTGGAAGCTCATTTTAAGCAATAAAAATGTGCTAGATACAGCCAATGTTGTTGCTTTAAATAAGAATATTAACATTTAAATCAGTCAGATCCCAGTGGAGACAAAAACTTTAATCAAAATCACTCAAAACAAGATTAATACTCTGAATTCCAATCATTTTTGTGTGGGTAGTTATATTTTTGTAGTGTAATGTCACAGGAACTTTAACCTACAGCCAGATCAATAATGATTAAACCAAACGTCCTTCAATAGAAAGTGAATTACACAGATGTACAGCAGATTATGAAACAAGGGACCCATTGTTCCAGACAGTAAAGACCAGGAGAGGGAAAAAGGAGGAGGAAAGAGGAAGAGAAAATGCTTTCCTCACCTACATTACACCACAGGGGGGCGGCATGCCATGTTTACTAGCCCTGAGTGAGTTCGTAACACCAGTAACAGAACCGTGACTTCATCAGCCCTTTTGCAGTCACTTTGAGTTGTATTAATTTTGCCTGCTGTTTTTGTGCCTGTTCCCTCCGTCCTTATCCCGGTTTAAAGGCCTGTCGCGATAACACAACTCGATGTTACAGAGAAATACTGCGATAAATGATGAAACTACTTTATGTCTCTGCCACAAATTTAGAGGCACTGCTCTGTCTGAAGCTCTGTCACTCAAGAGAGGCTTTAGTCTGAGCTTTATTTTAACACAGTCCAGCCATGTGGTAACTAATATCTGTTCTGTTTTTAAACTCTTTTTACCAAAGCCTTTTGTTAATTGTGTTTTATTGGTTTTATGTTGTGCACTGTAATAGTTTTAGCTTGATGCACTTTTATTCACTGTAGCACTTTGAGATTATTTTATGTAAAGTGCAATATAAATAAAACATATTATTATGAGTATTATTATTATTAGTAGTAGTAACAGTAGTAGCAGTAGTAGCAGTAGTAGCAGCAGCAGTAGTAGTAGTAGTAGTAGTAGTAGCAGTAGCAGTAGAAGCTGTAGTAACAGTAGTAGTAGTAGTAGAAGCAGTAGCAGTACCAGCAGTAGTAGAAGTAGTAGTAGCAGTAGTAGTAGCAGCAGTAGTAGCAGCACTAGTAGTAGCAGTAGTAGCAGTAGTAGAAGCAGTAGCAGTACCAGCAGTAGTAGAAGTAGTAGTAGCAGTAGTAGTAGCAGCAGTAGTAGCAGCACTAGTAGTAGCAGTAGTAGCAGTAGTAGAAGCAGTAGCAGTACCAGCAGTAGTAGAAGTAGTAGTAGCAGTAGTAGTAGCAGTAGTAGTAGCAGCAGTAGTAGCAGCACTAGTAGCAGCAGTAGTAGCAGTAGTAGAAGCAGTAGCAGTACCAGCAGTAGTAGAAGTAGTAGTAGCAGTAGTAGCAGTAGTAGTAGCAGCAGTAGTAGCAGCACTAGTAGCAGTAGTAGCAGTAGTAGTAGCAGTAGCAGTAGCAGTAGTAGTAGTAGGAGTAGTAGTAGTAGTAGCAGTAGTAGTAGCAGCACTAGTAGTAGCAGTAGTAGCAGTAGTAGAGCAGTAGCAGTACAGCAGTAGCAGTAGTAGTAGCAGTAGTAGTAGCAGTAGTAGTAGCAGCAGTAGTAGCAGCACTAGTAGCAGCAGTAGTAGTAGTAGCAGTAGCAGCAGCAGTAGTAGTAGTAGCAGTAGCAGCAGCAGTAGTAGCAGTAGCAGTAGTAGCAGTAGCAGTAGTAGCAGTAGTAGTAGCAGTAGCAGTAGTAGTAGCAGTAGTAGTAGCAGCAGTAGCAGTAGTAGCAGTAGTAGTATAACACAATAGTTTGAAGTCCAAAAAGCACATTTAAAATGCAAGATTCTTGTAGTTTATAAAACTTCATAAAAATATTTTGCATAAAAATATAGGTTTTGTGGTTATTAATTACCACTAGGAGTGTGCAAAAATATCAAAATATCAATATATTGTATCGTTTTATGTGATGATACAATATCAATATCATGGACTGCTGTGTCGATATATCGCCAAGAGTATTTTTTGATATATTTTACTAAATTATTTTGTTTAGAGGAAGGAAACTCATTTATTTGACATTTTCACTGTTTTGATGATTAAACTGTTTGTGTTTCATTTGAACTTCGCACAAGAAGTGGTTTAACAAAAACTTTTAGTTTGACAGCCATGATTTAGGGTTTATTTTTTATTGCCCCGTACTGAATCGATTTGAAATATATTGTATCAAATTGAAAGTTCACTTTATCGAGATATGTATCGTATCGGCGACTTCTTAATGATACACAGCCTTAGTTACCACGTAGCTGATAAGACCAGAGCGAGATTCAAAATTTAAATTTTTTTTTTAAGTTTATTGGAAAATTTAATGGAAAATTCACTTCAAAAATGAAGGGGTGGGTGCTCATTGTTTATCGTGACAGGCCTCGATATGCTAACCAATCCTGCTGATGTTATATTTTTTGTTTTGACTGTTTTTGTGTCATGCTTTTTGGTATCATTTGTGTTTGTGCTTGCTCCCGTCCCCTTGTGTGCTTATGTGCTTGTGTTTGTGTGTGCGACCCCCTCTTAGCCTTGCTGCTAAACAACCCCGCGTATCACCTGCTCCTGTCAGATCACAGGAAGGCAGCGGCTCCCAGCACCTCTCGGGCCCCAGAAAAGTGCCTGAATGTGTCCCCGGCCCAGGGTAAGACATAAGGCACAAACGAGAGAGGGACAACGGAGCTCTCTCACACAACAAAATGTCTCGTTTTATGCTTTATTCAGGTGTCAAAGTGAAAGAAACCACTACCATTACTAGATACTCATTTAAACAAGTATCAATACTGAAAAACATTACATAAAAGGACAAAATTACACCTTTTTCTTCGAATTTATCTTGAAGTAGTAGGCTACAACATAATAGTAAAGAAACTACAATTATTTAGAGCTGGAAATGACATTCTGTAGTTATTATCATTCTGGTATTGAAATCTGTATTGAATATAGAGCAACTTACCTCAAAATTAACATTTTTGTATCATGACAGCTCTATTTAGGCTTTTAAAACACTTTGAGATACATGGTGTTAGGGCTGCACGATACATGTATATCGCAATCGAATGGAAATCAAATTGCAAAAGCTGCAGTCATTTAGACAGCAGAATCTGTATAAAGAGCAAAATATCCTCTTGTACCTGTGGTTTACACCTATAACAAGTTCTCAAATTCATTCTTGTATGAGTTTATAGTTCATATTTCCAGGGGTGTAGTGGCCGTGGAACGTGTGGGGGTTCACCGTCTACCCACTTCTCCCAATGTGAGATATTAAAAAAATAACAAATATAAAATAGCTACAACTTAAATGTCAAACTGGAGCTACTGGCAGTGGTGTAAACAACCTGCATAGGCTCATGATATCTGCAGGACTGTCCTATAGTGACCTGAGACATGAGGGGACCAGGACTGAACCAGGACTGGACCAGGACTGGACCAGGACTGGACCAGGACTGGACCAGGACTGAATCAGGACTGAATCAGGACTGAATCAGGACTGAACCAGGACTGAACCAGGACTGACCAGGACTGAATCAGAACTGAACCAGACTGAACCAGGACTAAATGAGGTCCAAACCAGGTCTAAACCAGAAATGTACCAGGACTAAGTGTCAGGACGGCCGTGGAGGTGCGCCCGCGTTGACCGTCAAGTGACCGCAGGAGAAAGAACCAGCGCAGAGGTCCACGGGGCTAAGCACAACCGTCCACTGATCATGCTTCTATGGACACCATGCTCCATGGGCTTGAGGTTCTCTCTCTCGCTCTCAAGTCCAAGATTAGTCCAAGATTAGTCCAAGATTAGTCCAAGATTAGTCCAAGATTAGTCCAAGATTAGTCCAAGATTAGTCCAAGTCCAAGATTAGTCCAAGATTAGTCCAACATTAGTCCAACATTAGTCCAACATTAGTCCAACATTAGTCCAACATTAGTCCAACATTAGTCCAAGATTAGTCCAAGGTCCAAGATTAGTTCAAGATTAGTTCCAAGATTAGTCCAACATTAGTCCAACATTAGTCCAACATTAGTCCAAGATTAGTCCAAGATTAGTCCAAGATTAGTTCAAGATTAGTCCAAGATTAGTCCAACATTAGTCCAACATTAGTCCAACATTAGTCCAACATTAGTCCAACATTAGTCCAACATTAGTCCAACATTAGTCCAACATTAGTCCTGGTTTAGTCATAGGTGGAGTTTGACTTTTGCACTGGGGGGCAAACATTTTAACCTCAGGGCACTAGATACTGTAGTTCAAGGAGGACATATTCAAAATCGAGAGCTATGTTATGAAAGTATGAATGACTGGATGCTGAAATGAGAAGAAAACAGGAAACCGTCAATGACTCAACGTCACAAAATCTTATGACTAGTCAAAAACTAATTCATTACAAAACGCAAACTCCGCCTATGGTTTTAGTCCTGGTTCAGTCATGGTTCATGTGTTTTAGCCTATGATTTATGTTCTGTCGGTGATTATAAATGGCGTTAATGTTAATAACATGTTTCTGAATCATCTTGAGGGGGTGCGGGTCACATCAATGACGTCACGAATCGCGTACCCACACTTAAAAAATCCTCACTCCACCACTGCATATTTCTCTCAAATGTTCTGCAGTTGTTTAAAATGTGCAGTCTCCAAAAATCCTACTTTTTAAACACATATTGCATATCTAATCGCCAAACTTTGCAATTCAATTTTTTTCCCGAAATCGTGCAGCCCTTCATGGTGTACACCCAGAGTCACTTTGTTATAAAACTTCCACTTGCAGTAAGTTTGGAAAAAGTTATGCAGCTCGGATAGCAGTCCATTGGTCCTTGTAAATCTCTTGTAATAGGTCCTGAGGAAACACAACATGATTAAAAGGTCAAAATAGACAGTTAAGCATAACCTGTTTACCACATTATTTCTTGTTTTGCATGTTTTTGACCTTAATCACCCTTTGCCTGCTCATATTAAAAATTTGTCCTCATCATTTGTTCATTAAAAAGCTACTAAATCATATTGTAATCGGTGACGCGAGAATGTTTTAATGTCTTACACCTATGAGGAGTTCTTTTGTTGGGCAAAGTTACATAATGTTTTAAGTAGGACTAGGAATTTTGTCAGTGAATAAAGTATTAATAAATGAAGAGCTGTTTATTTTTTTAGAATGTGACCCAAATTCAGCCGTTTGCCTCGTTTTAAAAAATATGGTAAAAAGAAGTCCTCATGCCGTTATCTGTTATGTAAGTCAGATCACAGCTGGTGCCTTGGGGGAAACAATAGGGGGGTTGTCTAATGAAGAGAACACTTAAGAATACTGGACAGCTTCTTTCGCTTTGAGACTTGGAAGGATTTAACAAGATCTTGAAACTCAAATGTCAGAACAGTAACACTAGTCTTATTTTGTAGGTAGGAATAGACGTTAAAGTATTAAATTGTAGACCCTGTGGCAATCGGCTACTTTGAAAAGGTGCACTATGTAACTTTTCTGCTTGTTTCCATGGAGATGTTATATCCAAGCGTATCTATCTTGCAATTGTTCATCTGTAGGTGTTTCAAATATCTTCAAAAATGTGCATTCTACAAAAATCACGGTTTGGTACGTACCTCGGTTTAAAGGTCACGGTTTGGTTCATTTTCAGTACAGTACGGGAACAAAATGCAAAACCAGTTGTTTATTTGGGTATTTATTAAATTAACAATTTGTTTTAACATTATACAGATGGGAAAATAAAATAAATCCAAAGTTCTGCTTGGTATAATAAATAAAATATTGTCAAATAAGCAACAAATGTTAGCCAGGCTGGTGCCACCTAGTGCCTCCGCTCAATTTCATTTCTCTCCAGCAACTATGTCAGGAATCAAAATACACTAGACGGTTCGTAAAAACCCCGGAAGTGTGAGTTTGAGCATCAGCCAATCAGTGAAGAGTGATATATTCTGTGTTGTCAACGATTCTCAAGATCAAGGATTTAAAGCCGGAACAAAGACAATGTTTGGTGAATTTTATCAAGGGGAAAGGCATTATTGTCCTTCTTCCTATGGGATTTGAGAAAAACTTCATATACCAGTTAGCCTCATTAGCGGTGCAACCAAATAGCAGTGATTGATTAAATGATAAAAAGTACCCATCTACCATCGAGCGAATGAAATCTAAGGCTGCAAGGTCAGATGGTTTCTACGAAGTGAAACGAAGTAAAACTGGCTGATGAATCAGGCTAAAGAAATGTATGATTTTTTTTTTTTTTAATTCCATGTAAACAGTAAACAAAACTTTTCCAAAAGTAAAAATAGCATAAATAGTGCAAATTCACTCGTGCACAGCCCACAACTGAACATCCCGTACCGAAACAGTTCAGCACGAATACATGTACCATTACTATGGGTGTGCAAAAAAATCAAAATATCTACATATCATATCATTAAATGTGATGATACAGTATTGATATCGTGGGCTGCTTCATCAAAACATCACCAAGACAGATTTTTGGTATACTTTACTAAATTATTTTGTTACAGTGCTACAGTTGTGTTGCTTGTTTAGAGGAAGGAAACTTGTTTATGCAACACATTTTCACTGTTTTGATGATTAAAATTGGCTTTTTTTTCCATTTCATATGAACTTTGAATAAGAAGTGGTTTAATTAAGATTTTTAGTATCACAGCCATGATTTAGCCTTTATTTTTTATTGAACCGTATCGAATCATTTTGATATATATCGTATCGAACCGAAAGTGCACTGTATCGAGGTATGTATCGTATCGTCAAATTCTTAATGATACTCAGCCCTAACCGTTACACCCCTAATTCTTACATGAACGGGCTTGCCTCTTCACAGATCGGATCTTGTAACTTGACATGTCTTAATTGTCCTAATATAGATAGATCATTTTAATGCCACTGTGGAACATTCCAAGCAAGGCAATAACATCTCTATAGAGACAAGTAAATGGTTCATCAGAAAAGTTACATTTATCCATATTGAACTCACAAAAGGCAGATGGACTAAAGACTGAAACTTGATGCCAGAATTATTACTTATTAGACTCTAAGAAAATAGAGATATATTACATTTTTGCTCTATATTCTACCCTTAACATATGAAATAACTTTATATTTATTCGAGGTTTTTTTTTTGCCAAAGAGCAGATATTAAACCTCTGTCTCCCCTCACAGCCTGTGCCCTGGACCTGGAGCTGGAGAAGGGTTTTTCTCTGAGCCGCGAAGAGCCCCCTCCGTACCCAGGTGCCCCCCCGTACCCCACCCTGTCCCCGCCCGTGTCCCCTCCGCTGCCCCCTAGTGTCCCTCACTACGCGGAGGCCGACATCGTGAGTCTACAGGGGGTCAGCGGGAACAACACTTACGCCGTACCTGCCCTGAGCTCGTCCAGCCCCGGGGCAGACGCGACTCCTCTGCCAGAACTGCCCCGACACTGCCTCATCTTCAAGGAGAAACTGGGAGAGGGGCAGTTTGGAGAGGTGAGGAGCTTTACATCATGGATCTACTACTTTTGATACTTTAAAAGAGACATATTATCCTTTTTTTGCCTTTCTTAGTAACATATATAGATCATTATTTTACATTTTCTTCATTGTAAATCACAACATTGATTTTAAAATATATAAATAATATAAACAGGTCCATTGATTTCTTGTACAAAACTACGCACCTGCACTTCTACATTGAGGCATTTCACTGCAGCAGGCTACACATACTGGTTAAATGGCTTCAGGGGCTTTTAGAGGAGTGAGCAGGGGTGGGGATATGTTTAAACAGACATTTTCTAAGCACTCAAATGCAGGACATTGTAGGATCTAAATACATCTGTGAGTGCACACTGTATATACACTGATCAGAGTGAGGATTGAACCACCAACCATCAGATTAGAGGGTGAATAAACTACCACTTCCAGTCCATTTGACAAAAAGGTTTTATTTACCTCTGTCTAAAAGGTGATTGTCCACCACAACTCACAATTTACATCAAAACAACTGAATTAAAGCAGTTTGTATGAAAAGTAACTTAAAATTAAAGCACAGATTGAGAAGGTGTTTATTAGTTTAGTGAATAGCTTTACAAAGTGTTAAATGAAATCAAGCCTGTGTAGTAGTAATCATATACTTGTGAGCAGTGGAAGCTATTTGCCAAGTGGTGGAGGTCTGTTTATATTGGAGTCATTAATTTAATTAATTTATTTATTTGTGAAGGGACAACACATATTAGTCAATCTATGAATCAGTCAAACTTTATTAGTATAGCACTTTTCATACATTTGAAATGTAGCACAAAGTGTTTCACATGCAACAGAAAAATGACAATAATTAAAAACAACATCCATATATACAACCACTTAAACAGAAACATAAAACAGAAACATAAAGCTCCTAAAGGTTATAGTAAAAATAAAAATGGAGAACTAAAATCAGATGGAGACTAAGTAAAATGGTAATGATAATTTAATTTAAAAGAAATATAATAAGAATTTAATTTAATAAAAAAAACAAGTAAAAGTTTCAATTAAAAGCTAAATTGAAAAGATACGTTTTGAGTTTACACTCACAGTGGACCTCAGATTCTCAGGTCGACTGTTCCACAAACGGGGGCTGTAAAAGTTGAATTATTAATGTATTTTAAGTGCATATTAATACACATTTAAAATGTAAATATGTAAGATTATAGCCAGTGTGGCTAATTTCCATCTTCAGTCCCTTGGCAGGTTGATGTGAAGGACAGAGAAAAGTACAGCAACAATCACACAAAAATACACAACATCAGCACACTCACTGTACACACAACACACTCACTGTACATATAATTAATTTCAGACAGTTCCTCTGGAGTTCAAAGTCAGGAGTTAAAGAGTTAAACCAATAATCACTTAATATAAAAAAAATAATAATTTGATTAAACATTGTGACATATTTGATCACTGAACATCACTGTTTTAAAAACTTCAGAAAATGCTGCAGTGTTGAAAGTTCTCGTGTATGAGCTGCTCTGTGTTTCATGTTTGACCTGCTCCAGAAGCAAAAGAGCTGCCAAAAAGCACTTTACCTAAACGGCACTTTGTAACCAAAATGAAATCTGCATATCTGATTGTGTTGTCCCAATTAAGACATTTGTATTTGTTAAGTTTGGCTTGGAATACTGTTGTGGGGCAAACTCTAAACTAACTCTGTGTTATGTGCTGAAAGGTACACCTGTGTGAAATCGAGAACCCTCAGGACCTTCCCATCCTGGAGTTCCCCTTCAACGTAAGAAAAGGGCGCCCTCTTCTGGTCGCTGTGAAAATACTACGCCCGGACGCCTCCAAAAATGCCAGGTAAACATTAGAGACTGCAACAGCACAGTTATCAACACATGCAAGTATTAATCTAAGCACGAGCCAGTTTAAGGCAAATTGTGCTTTCATATTAAAGTCTGTCTGAATATTTTACAGATTTTTTTGATTAATATATTGTATTTGTGGTAGATAAATGTTTGATTGACAGAGCATTTTACATTCAGGAGCATAAACATTTGAAGCCTCAACCACATTTTTAATCATAATTGTAGAGCTCTAAACAACATGATTTGCAGGTTTTTCTACAGATTAAGAAACTGTTATATCTAGTTTTCTCCACAAGATATTAATAAATAGATACACATGTTTGAGTAACCTTTTATAATTATTCAGTCTGCATCTCCTAAGCTCAAAACGCTCTGCTCCACGTAGTATTCAAGTTAACAGCTACCTTTTACCTTTTATTATCCAAATTAAATCAAACAAAGGATTCTAGTGAAGGTGCATGGAGTTTAAAAACACAGTGGAGCACTTCCTGTATCAGCATATGACGTCACCAGGTGGAACGCAGAAGAATTCATAGAAGAACTCAGCCTAAATATGCAGGATTTGTGAGTTAAACATGTGCGAATGAAACAAAACAGCAACTCTGGGTCTGTCAGAAAATAGCATAATATTGCCCCTTTAATCATTTGTGAATAGCTAATTATGAACATTCAAATTACAGTCACTATTTGTTTTAATTTTATGTATCAGCACAGTGTAGATGACAGAGTCAATATTCAACTACATTTGAACAGGGAATAAAATAAGGAAGTAAAAAGGATACATTTGGCTGTCTGCACTTACTAAATATATAATACGGACAAAATATATTTCTTGTTTTCCGTCTTAGAAACGATTTTCTGAAGGAGGTGAAGATCCTGTCCCGGTTGAAGGACCCAAACATCATCCGTCTGCTGGGAGTGTGCGTCAGCAGCGACCCCTTGTGTATGGTGACAGAATACATGGAGAGTGGGGACTTTAAACCAGTATCTGTCCCAACGAGTGCTGCTGGACAAATCTGAACCTTCACATAACTCCCCCACTATCAGGTACCACTGCAAAGGGAGTATATACATTAAATATGTATAGTAATAGTCTCTTTTTTCTTTTTTGTTCTGATGTACTTTTTTGTTAATAGGTGTAGACCAGTGGTTCTCAGATTGTAACCTGCAGTTTTAGTCTTTATTTCTGTTTATCCTGTATAGACCTGGTTTAGTCTGGTCATATCCCTGTTTCAGATCTGAAAGTACTCAGGAATCCATTTTCTTTATTTTTTTTTCACTGAACTGAAGTACAGAAAGTACAGTACAAAAGTACAGTCTACAAATTATTTTAGAATTACAGAATGAACGAATAAAGTCCAACTAGTGATTTTTAAATGAGTATAAAAATACAATAAATACTGTGGATATAAACTGGTAGCCTGATTCATCAGCCGATTTCACTTCGCAGCTGGGGGATTCGTTCGCTCGACGGTCGGCGGGTACTTTTTTTATTTAACCAATCGCTGCTGTTTGGTCGTGACTTATGTAATGCACCAAATCCCGTAGGAAGAAGGGCAATAATGTCTCTCCCCTTGATAAAATTCACCGAACATTCTGTTTGTTCCTTCTTTAAATCCTCGATCTCGGGAATCGTTGCCAACACAGAATGTCTGTCTTCATCTACATCCATCTCGACCGCTTTGTTTACTGTTGTGCTGTTCCACTCAAGGGACCCAGACAGGCGCTTGAGTTTGACATCATGACTTCACAGCTCTTGGCCGGTGCGCGGTCTACAACTTCGCGGTCTTTGCAAACTGTTTAGTGAATTCCGATTCCAGACCTGGTCACTAGAGAGAAATGAGACTGAGGTTGCGCCAGCCTGGTTAATAAACTGGGGCACTGTGTAACTTTTCTGGTGGAGTGTCTGCCACCTGCTTATCCCTATCGGGTGTTATTGCTTTGCTTGGAATGTTCCACATTATGGCATTATACCCATCTATTTTTATGGAGACAAACAGCTTGCCTCACCACGTCAGGTTACAAACCAGATCTGTGGAGAAGTGACCCCCACTAAAGCATGTTTTAAAGACATTTTTCAGCGGTAAAACACTTGTAATTGAATAAATGCATGATAGATAAGTTTAATCAGTTATATTTCCATGGAGTCAAGCAGGTGGCAGGCTCTTCACCAGAAAAGTTACATAATGCACGTTGAAGTGAATTTAATTTTGTTCTGATTTATGTTTTTTTTGTTTGTTCTATAGTTACCCTGCTCTGATCTCCATGGCCAGTCAGATCGCGTCAGGGATGAAGTTTCTGTCTTCGCTGAACTTTGTGCATCGAGACTTGGCCACGAGAAACTGCCTGGTGGGCGGAGACAGGGGGGAGGACGGGGCAGACTGCGGGGGCGAGAGGCAGATCAAAATCGCAGACTTTGGGATGAGCAGAAACCTGTACGCCGGAGACTACTACAGGATCCAGGGCAGAGCGGTGCTGCCCATTCGCTGGATGGCCTGGGAGTGCATCCTCATGGTAAGTGGGCAAAGAGGATCCTAAAGTGAGGCTCTGCTGTTTTTTATTGACTGTCTATTGGCTGTAAGATGGTGAAATTTGCCCCTGCAGTTATTCTCATTTTTATACTTTTAACCCTGCATGAGTTGTGTGTCCTTGTGTTGTGTGTATTTATTGCATTTTAATTTCTTTAAAACTAGTGAGATTAAACTTTCATGGTTTCTATGTATTCTTATTTGTATTTATGTTATGTTTCCCCCTGCAGCATTTTGTCTGTGTGTATTAGGGGTGTAACAGTGCACAAAAATCACATTTGCTTGTTGTTTATTAGTGTGTTTATTAAACCAACAATTTGTTTTAACCCTCTCAGGCTCAAATTAATTTTTAGTATCAGGAAAAATCTGATATTTGGGGAAAATTTAAATATGGGGTAGTAATATACAGTCCTGACTTTTTTATCCTTTGTGAACAAAAAAAGTATTTTGCACTTCTGGCAGGCCGTTTGCATGTAGTCATTCTTGCACAGTCTGCATCGTCCACGTTTATCAGCACGGATGGGAGAAAAGGCTCCTGAGTAAAAAAAGCTCATAAAATATGGATGTGGAGTAAGTAGGTAATTGGATTTTAGCTGTTGCAAATCTGCAACGCCTGCCTGGAGAGGGTTAACATTATAGCATTAACAATATGTAAATGGGAAAATAATATAAATGCAAAGTGCTGCTTGGTAATACTAATAAGTTAAATAAAATATTCTCAAATAAGCAACAAAAGTATGAAATATGTAAACAGTAAACAAAACTTTTCAAAAAAGTAAAGTGCAGGACTAACAGTTCCGGTGAAGTTTTACTCAGTCTTCAGAAAAAACAACTTGTCCACATCATCTTCAGTAAGTGCAGGGGGAGCGGAGATTCAGGTGAAAGTGAGGACTGTAGTTTTGTGAGGATTCATGTGGTTTGGAGGGACGTAGTCAAGGCTGAGGGCAGTGTTGTCAGGGCAGCGGCCGCTCTAGCTATAAAGCGCTGCGGGAAACACTGCCACCCCGATCATGGGTGATTCACGAGTTACCTCGTGAATATTAAAGAGCCGAGCCTTCTATGTAGCTGCACATGTAGTGGCCGAATGTAAACACACACAAATTGCGCTAATTCATTCATGCACAGCCCTGCACCGAACGTCCTGTACCGAAACAGTTCGGCACAAATAGATGTACCATTACACCCCTAGTGTTTATGAAATGTACTATACAAATAAAGTGAATTAGATTGGATTATATCAAAGAAATACTTACATAGATGACATTTATGTTGCTTTCTGGGATAAATTGTTAAATGTTTTTGGAGGATTTGTCAAATATCTGGGAGATGAGGCTATGAACAAAAATAAGAAGTTCATAAATAACATAATAACTTGTGTATGTTGCTGTATTCAGGGTAAGTTCACGACGGCCAGTGACGTGTGGGCGTTCGGCGTGACTCTGTGGGAGATGCTGAGTGTGTGTCAGGAGCAGCCGTACTCAAACCTGACGGACGAACAGGTCATCGACAACGCAGGAGAGTTCTTCAGAGACCAGGGCAGACAGGTACAGCACACAAACACAAACACACAAACACACACAGTGCAGTACTGAAGAAATGTATTCATTATTCTGCTACAAAATCTGACATAGCAGAACAACTGTGTGTCAGCAGCAATGACAGAGGGACTAGATATGATTAATATAAACATAGGTACTGAGATTTGTATAAAAAGTAGAGCTGCACAAGAACAGTAAATAAACATTCTAACCTATTGCCATTATTCTAAAACATAAAAACATATCCAAACTGTTTTTGCATACTTTGATTCACATTTACACTAATTTTGGGATTTATTTAGATCTTTTTTATTTACATATTGAGCTATTCTTGATTACATTTTTGTTTAAATGAGCCCAGTGAGGTGATACAGTTAAGTTTCTCATCTATAAATGAAAAATCAGCCCCATCCTGCATAATAAACATACTTTTTAATAGTTTTTCAAGTGTATTTATTGACGTTGTTAACTGATGTTATATTTGATTGACCTCCATTGGCTATCAGCTATTCTTTCTGGAGACCATGTTTATTTTTTTGGGTTGGGTGTGATTATGTTGTTGTTTTTTTTAAAGGTGTATTATGTAACTTTTTGGTTTGGGGATCCATCATCTTCTTGTTTCTATGGATGTGTCACTGCCTGGACATTAAACAGCTCTAACTTATATTATTAAATTACAAGTGGTTTTATAGATCAATCTTAATCCATGTATCATTCGTTTATTCGTTTTTCAAAATAAAACCAAAAATAAGAAAATGAAAAAACAACTATTTTCTTCATTATTTGTCTCCAAAACCAAAATGAAAAAACGGATAACGATTTTTATTTTTTCACTTTTATATTTTGTGTTTAAATGAATAATAGAAAAACAGATCACGACCGTTTCCTGTTTCCGTGATGACGATGCCAGACTGAACCAGGACTGAAACAGATCCAGGACCAGACCGGGACTGAGACCGGGACTGAGACCGGGACTGAGACCGGGACTGAGACCGGGACTGAGACCGGGACTGAGAACAGTTTAGTCCTGGTTCAGTCCGGCATCGCAGTTTAAGTCATGTAAATAGGAAATGGACGTTATCCATTTTCTCCATTATTCATTTAAACACAAAATTGAAGAAACAAAACTGAAAAAAATAAAATAAAATAAAATCATTATCCATTTTTCATTTTGGTTTTGGAGACAAATAATGAAGGAAATTGTTTTTTTTTGTTTTCTTATTTTTGGTTTTATTTTGAAAAACGAATAAAAGAATGATACACGGTTTAACTTCCATCGAAAAAATTACAAAGTGTACCTTTAAATTTATATTTCCAGTTTCAATTGTTCAATCTTTTGGATATTAATTGGGAGCTGGTTACGTCTGGTTTAATATTTGCAGAGCTTTGACTTGTATTAAATCCATTAAGTTGAGGGCATGACATGAGTCTTTGTTAATCGTGTTATGTTTGCCTGCTTAATTAAACCTTTTGAACATCATGCTGTAATCTGACCCCCAGTCTTTTGCTCTGGTGCAGGTGTATCTGACCCGGCCGGCGGTCTGTCCCCAGGGCCTGTACGAACTCATGCTCAGCTGCTGGAACAGAGACTGCAAACTGAGGCCCTCCTTCGCCGATATCCACTCCTTTCTCACAGAAGACGCGATGAACATGGTGTAGAGCGAGAGAAAGTCTCAACGAGTACCGGCCTCTGGTGGTGGTGTTTGGGTACTGCACTTGTGAGGGGAACGGGGTGCTTGACGTTGGGTTCGTGGGCAGTGAGTGAGACCGCTGGCTCGGTCTGTTTTGACAAATCCAGTACAACATAATGATAGATTTAATTTGTGGTGGTGGGTGCCTTCTGCGTAGTAACTTTCATTTCACTGGTAAAGGGTTCATGATAAACATTACATTATATTAGTTATCTTTTGATTTAGATTTTTTTTATTAATGAAAGGCAATTCTAGTATTTTTAGTTTTGATACAGTACCAAATAGGCTCAATTCTAGGACTAGCATCGTTATATAAATCTGTTGTTATTATGTTTATGTAAAAGTGCATTGAAGCGCACTGCTAGTCATGGTTTTACAAGCTTTCTGTTATAGGCAACATTTTGAAGACTTTTTTTCCCCGTTCAAAAGATATAATATTTAGTTTTTAATTGTTAAAGGGACAGTCTGGAATTTTGGACATAGGACTTCATTTCCTAAAGTGTTGGAGACGTGTGGAGACACTTTTTAAAATATTTTATCCAGTCCTTGTATTTGCAGAGGTCGCTGGTGCTAGGCTAGTGCATGTCAATGGTCATAGTTATCCTGCCACTAAAAACAGTCTTACCCACTCCACAAAACACCCGAGGCAAAAATATTATTACACCAAACTGTTGATGTGAATGTCTGTGTTGATAGAATAATTTCAGAAGTAAAACTAACCTTGCATTAGAAGGATTTATGTCTGAGCAGCAGCAGGGAGTCGTACTTCTTGATAGAAAGTTTGGCAGCGGTGGACTGATATCGCCTAACACCAAGCCCTGGGGTTTCAAAATGGTCGCTCATTCAAGTCAACGGGCCAAGCTCAATGGCACATGACTCATTAGATTAGACAGATCCGCCTTTAGCCCGGCGAGGTACTTTGGTAGCTTTTGGCCGATGGAGCATGTGCAGTAGTGCTCTTTTTTCCCACGGGCACATGTCAATGCATGCGAGTTCATGCACAGAGCGCAGTCTCGTGTATCATCATGTATCATGATCGCTTTGACCAATTAGAGCGAGAGGAGCTAGAGCCGGTGCTATCGATTATAAAACGTTTTGGTTGAAGGATTTTGAGCTGAGAAAAAGTTTATGATCTAAAAATAGGCAAACATCGCCACAAAATCTGACATTTTTGAAAGATGTACGTCTCTGTAGCAGGCAAACACGAGCAGTTTGTGATTACATTACGATCTCTGAGAAAAATCCTGTCTCAGCCCAGGGGATTTTTTCCGCTGAAGTTCCAGTGAGTGTCCACTGCGTCAACTGGTGACAGTAACAAGAAGCAACAACTTATCCAGTTATTTAATAGATCCATGCCTAGCACCTATCTTACCAGCAAAGTAACATTCCGCTGCTGCTGAGAAAATAGTCCCTCAACATGCGACGATTCATGCAATGCAAGGTTACTTTTATTTCAAACATTATTCTATCGACACAGACATTTACATCGACAGTCTGGTGTAATAATAGATTTGCTTCGGGTGTTTGTGGAGTGGGTAAGACTGTTTTTAGTGGCAGGATAACTATGACCATTGACTAGTCTAGCACCAGCGACCTCTGCAAATACAAGGACTGGATGGAATATTTAGAAAAGTGTCTCCACACGTCTCCAACACTCTAACCCAGAAATGAGGTCCTATGTCCAAAATTCTGGACTGTCCCTTTAATTGCTAAAATATTATTTCAAAACCTTTGGATCAGAAAATCTAGTATTATCTTTTACCCGCTTGAGTTGAATTGAAAAGGAGTCAAAAAGTAGATTAGTAAATACTTTTTACACGAGAAATGCTACTTTTTGATATGAATATTTTGCTATTGATCTATTAACCCATCACTAATTTGTCAACTTAAGGCACATTATAATTGTGATAACTCAAACTACACTAATTCTCAGTTCAGACCACTCACTGGCCCTGCCTTTATGATACCGGACGGCCCAAATTTGGTTAAAGCTGATCTGTACTAGACACCTGCAGCCCGACCTCCTGTCTCCTGCCTCCTGGAAAACTGAAAAAGAAAAAAACAACACCAAAATGTTCCCGCTTTTGACTCGAAATAAATGAAACGATTCCTTGTGCCGAGTGGATTTTTCACCAGATGGACTTGGGACGCTGCAGTTGCAAAAAGACTATGAATTGAAAAGACTATTGGAAGCAAAGAGAACGAACTGGAGATCTACAAGCCTGCCAGTGTGTTACGGCAGTTTTCTATCTGGATGAAACCCAGATTTAAACTATAATTCCTTGACCAGCTGCACTTTAAAAACAAAACAGGTGCCCTTGACTTGTCCCTGATACAGATTTTGGGCTCATATGATTCCTGTCAACGTGGATTTTTGATGTTGCAGTAAGAGAAAAAGACTTTGCCAAACCTTAAGATGTAAAATATTGTTTAAAAAAAAAAAGGAAATGGCTTCACGATTTCAACTTGATTTGTTATTTGCTATTTTGTTGTCAAACTATTACCCATAAAATATGTCTTCATAGCCAAAAGGGTTACTGTGTGTGTGCAAGCAGTCAAAACTGTCAAAACTGTGAATGACTGGGGTCTGATTATGATGTCTGTAAAAAAAAAAAGTTTATCTGGTGATAGACACTGCAAAAACAAATAGTTACTACATTGGCTTTAATTACTTGATTTAAGGATTTTATTTTAATTGTTCATTTGTATGTCTAAGTTCAATATTTTTGTTCCATCTCAGTAATAACATGGTAATAAATAAAAAAAATGATTACCAACACATGATTAACATATATATAAACATACTAATTAGGGATGTAACAATAACCGAAATATCGTGATATCGTATCGTCAGAAGTCTCACAATAATATCGTTGGCTGTCACAATATATCGAATCACAAGTTCCTTTGCTTAAATGCATGGTTTTATAATAGCAACAGTTAATAAACTTTGGGAACTACATATCCCATGATTCATTTCAGCGCAGACAACATGAACAAATGTTTTTTACTTGAATTCTTGGGATTATAATGGAAATAATTCACACCAGAATCTTGTCAATGTGTTTTAAAAGCAAAAAAGTGTTGCATCTACAATTATATTAGCCTCTAAAAAATAAATATTCTATCAGAAACTACATAGACCATGATCCTTTGCTCCATTTCAGTGCAGACTATATGAAGAAATAACAGTTCTAAGCACTTTTAAGTCTTAGTTCTTTGGATTAAGTTTTGTCAGGGCATTTTAAGAGGAAAAAGTAACATATAAACAGTTTTAGCTGTTTAGTCTCCACAAAATATCGCAAGAAATATTGTACCATGAGATGTGTATCGTGATAATATCGTACCGAGACATTTGGATATTGTTACAGCCCTAATCATGAGTTAACTTTGCCACGATATCGCAATAAATATTGTACCGAGAGGTTCATACTGTGACGATATCATGCGTATCGTGAGTCTTGGATATCGTTAAACCTGTATCGAATACAACTAAAATATTCTAGTTTTATTAACGCACCTGGATATTACGTTTTGCAGTAAATGGTCACATTTTTCTATCGCGCTTCAAGGCACTCAAAGCTCTTTACAACAAGGAACCACTTACCCATTCACACACCAGTGTACACAGACACTGAGGGCAAGGTGGGTTAAGTGTCTTGCCCAAGGACACAACAGCATTACATATATTGCCTTGAATGAAAGTAGAACATGACACGTGTCCTGTCTCTATCAGTAATTATCATGTAATAACCATATTTCTTTCTATTACCATGCTATTACTGTGTTGTGTAGTACCAACATTTGTTTCTCAATTTAAGGCAACATTTTATACCTTGGTAACTTCAGAAAAACAAATGTCAGTTTTTATATTGGTACATAATTTTGTCTCGATACAAGACTGCAATGTACCAAAAAAAAACAGCTTGTAAATCCTAAAAAAGTCAAATGAACTAGATCCAGTAACAAATAATGACCATTTGGTATCTGAGATTTTTTATCGGATTAATTCAAGTGATTTTAACGCGGCGTAAGTATTTGTTTTTGCGGTGTTTCAGTCCTGGCTCATCACGTGACATGTTTACTCTCGGTGAATGGATGTTCCCTCTGTCTGTTTTGATACACTGTAAAGAAGAAAACAAAAACAACTCAACCCGTATTTTTATAAACTGTATGTAATGTACTTAGACACTCCTCGTTGTCCCTTGTTTTTGAAGCTAATCGTTTGTAAATATTTTAAGGACAACTTTAATTTCTTTTACTAATAATATATGAAATGTCTCGGTTACATGTGGGGTCTTCTGTAACTCTGTAGAACGCTTGCTACCTTGATGCTATGGAAAAAAACGTTGTGTTGTCAATTTTTTGTAGATGTTTTAATAAAGTTACTCTTTTCGAAACTCAGATTTAGTTTGTCAGTGAAAAGTACATTTATTGTCTACAGTATTTTAATCATTTCATATAGACTGGTACACAACACTTTATCTACATACATTATGACTACTACATGCAGATAAGTTTCATAGATAAACTTACAAGCAATTAACAAAGTTGGCTCCAAACTTGAGATAGGAACAGCAGCGGTCAATGGCTTTTAATGATTTGGATAAGAACAAAGCTTCCCAGAGAGCTGTAAAAAACATTCTGCAAAAATTTGAGGTCTACATGAGGGAAAGAGGCTTGAAATCAGAGAATTGGTCATGGACAGTTTGTAATATTTTGGACATTGGCTCACCAGGAAATAAGGTCCTGAGTGTTAGAGACGTGTAGAGACTTTTAAAAATATTCCAGCCCGTTCTTGTATTTGTAAAGGTCGCTGGTGCTAGGCTAGTGCATGTCAATGGCCATAGTTATCCTGCCACTAAAAACAGTCTTACCAACTCCACAAAACATTTGAAACAAATCTATTATTACACCAGACTGTCGATGTAAATGTCTGTTGATAGAATAATGTTTGAAATAAAACTAACCTTGTATCGCATGAATCGTTGCATGTTGAGGGACTATTTTCTCATATATCACTCCGCCACTGCCAAACTTTCTATCAGTTAGTATAACTCGCCGCTGCTGCTCAGACATAAATCCTTCTAATGCAAGGTTGGTTTTACTTCTGAAATTATTCTATCGAAACAGACATTTACATGGACAGTCTGGTGTAATAATAGATTTTCTTCGGGCGTTTTGTGGAGTGGATAAGACTGTTTTTTGTGGCAGGCTAACTATGGCCATTGACATACACTAGCCTCGCACCAGCGACCTCTGCAAATACAAGGACTGGATGGAATATTTAAAAAAGTGTATCCACACATCTCCAACACCAGATCTGGCTCACTAGGAAAATGATGTCCTATGTCCAAAATTCTGTCCCTTTAAATAGTTTGGGCTATTTTAGATGTATATACACGTTAAACCTAGATTCTTCGACTTGGCTCAGCAGTTTGCATCTTTACAAGCTAAATTATCAGCCGTTGGGTTTTTTTCTTCACAAATACTAAAACATTTTCTTCTTTTAGGTTAAACTGGATTTAAACCAATAGAAAACACCATGGAAAAGTTAAAAAAAAAAAAAAAATCCTAGTTTAAAATACCTTAAAGACATACTATTTACTTTTCTGGTACAGGGTCCGCCACAGTCTACATAGAGGTGTTATTGCGTTGTCTTGAATTATCCACAGTATAGCAATAAACTTATCCGTCTCCATGGAAACAAAGGGGTGACACCGTCAGACTAAACGACATCTGTAGGGAGGCGACCCCGCTCACAGTAAGAATGCATGTTCCTGCCTATAAGCACCAGTAGTTCAATAAACGCAAGATAGATAAATTTAATGTCACACTATGGAACATTTTAAGACGCTGGCAGTCCAACCGCACCAGAAAAGTCATAGTTTACCTTCAGGTTAAATCATTTATTGTAACATAATACAGTAAATGCCCACTTAAAATAGAATAAAATGGCTTGTTACACCTAAATCTGTGTATCATTCGTTCATTAGTTTTTCAAAGTAAAACCAAAAATCAGAAAATGAAAAAAAAAAAAAATAAAATTTTCTTCATTATTTGTCTTTTCAGTTTTTGTGTCCACAGAGAAGCTATGCTGCTGTTATTGAAAACAGATCACGGCCGTTGACTTAAACCGCGATGCCGCACTTTTGCGCTGCATACGGACTGAACCAGGGCCGGGACCAGACCGGAACCAGACCGGGACTGAGACTAGAACTTTGACCAGGACCAGGACCAAGACTGAGATCGGGACTGAGACCGGGACCAAGACCTGAACTGAGACTAGGACTGGGACCGAGATTGGGACAGCGACCAGAACTGAGACCAGAACTGAGACTCGGACTGAGACCAGGACTGAGACCGAGACCGGGTCCAGACCAGGAATGAGTCCAGGAATGAGACTGGGACCAGACCAGGACAGAAAGTCGTTCAGTCCTGGTTCAGTCCTGGTTCAGTCCTGGTTCAGTCCTGGTTCAGTCCTGGTTCAGTCCTGGTTCAGTCTGCATGCAGCGTAAAAGTCCGGCATCGCAGTTTAAGTCACGGAAACGGTCTTTATCCGTTTTTTTTCCATTCTTCATTTAAACACAAAATCGAAAACTGAAAAAACAAATCGTTATCCATTTTTTCATTCTGGTTTTGGAGACAAATAATGAAGTTGTTATAGTTGTTTTTTCGTTTTCTTATTTTTGATTTTATTTTGAAAAACGAATTAACAAACAATACACGGAATCACTTAGTTAATTCGAATTACAATGTTTCTTTCCATTTTACTTTAACCTTAACTTAAACATAAACTATTACAAAAAGATAAATACTCTGAATGCAAGTCACTTAAACTCATGCAGATATTTGTTTTTGCAGTGTAGACACGTCCGACAGGCGTTTTAAAACCAGGCACTTGGAGGTCGAGCGATGCATAAGGCTTGGCAGCAGAAAACCTTTGGATAAGAACAGTAACAGAGAGAAGCAACTTACACAGGAACAGTACATGTCCATAAACAGAGAATAAAAGTCATCCAAAATGTTCAATAAACCAACATCTCTCTACAATATGCATTATGTATCTACTCTTAGCTGTAACACATTCGATAGTAGTATAGAAACAGTAGTAGGTTAGTAGGCATAGACTTCAACTAAAGGCTGCATCCCATTTCTGTTCACCTGTCTCTTTGAGTCCTCAGCCGTCAATCATAACCACAAGGAGGAGAAAAGAAAGTCGTTTCACATTTAGAGCTTGTTAAACTCAAGATTTTGTAACATAATTTTAAGTTTATGATAAGCGGGCACAATTTTGAAGACATTTAGATACAATATTTTGTTTGTAACCATAAAAAAAAACAGAAAATACAGACTTCCCTTCATGTGTTTTATCATTTTTATGTTTAACTTGTCAATTTAACTAACAACTGTGCCTGTGTCATCAAATTATTATTGAAGTATTAACTGAAGTATCTACTCCATAGAGACGCTAGGAGGAGAAAGGAAAGTTGTTTCACATTTAGAGCTTGTTTAACTCAAGATTTTGTAACACAATTTTAAGTTTATGGTAAGTCAACACCATTTTAAAAGACATTTAGATAAAATATTTAGTTTGTAACAATAAAAAAAGATAGAAAATACAGACTTCCTTCATGTATTTTATCATTTTTATGTTTAACTTGTAAATTTAAGTTCTTTCAACCAACAACTCTGTCTGTACAATTGAATTACAATTGAAGTATAACATTAAAATCATACATCTAGAAATAGAATTAAAAACGACTAATCATTAGTGTTTAATGTCATACTGCGGAACATTCCAAGAAAAGCAATCACTACTCCATAGAGACACTAGGAGGAGAGAGGAAAGTTGTTTCACACTTCCCTTCATGTGTTTTATCATTATTAATTTAACATTTTTATGTTTAACTTGTCAATTTAAGTTCTTTGAACTAACAACTCTGTCTGTATGACTGAGTTACAATGGAAGTATCAAATTAAAATCATACATCTCGACGAAGACAAGAAGGTGACGCAGGGGCACGCAATTTTAGAAATAAAAACAACATTTCATTCCAAGAAAAGCAATCGCTACTCCATAGAGACACTAGGAGGAGAGAGGAAAGTTGTTTCACATTTACAACTTGTTAACCTCAAGATTTTGTAACATAACTTTAAGTTTATGGTAAGTAGGCGCCATTTTAAAGATATTTAGATACAATATTTTGTTTGTAACCATGAAAACGAGTAAAATAATGATAAAATACATGGAGGGAAGAAGTATGTTTAAATTTTTTTTACGTTTAACTTGTCAATTAAAGTTCTTTCAACTAACAACTGTGCCCGTTTCATTAAATTATGACTGAAGTATAACATTAAAATCATACATCTCAACGAAGACAAGAAGGTGACGCAGGAGCACGCAATTTTAGAAATAAAAACAACTAATTATTAGTGTTTAAAGCCATACTCCATAGAGACAAGCAGAAGAGAAATAATGTCAGTTTTTGTTTCACGTGGCTAGGCCCAGTAATTGCAAAGATATTAGTCATAATACCATAACTCCAACTACTCTTTAGCAGGTGATTGACAGCTGAGAAATCAAGAAGTCAAAGCGCTGAGGAACAAAGAGACAACTGAACACAAAATGCGACGAGCCCCAAATAAAAAGCATCATTTCCAACCACGAAACACTTTCATTTTTTCAAACAGGAAATCCCAAGTTTGCTCCCTCTACCACTTCCTCTTCCTTCAGTCTGAATTGCAATCACATAAATTCACATGCTGCCCACTTACAACAGGGCAAGTTAACAAATTAAAAAACAACTAGATAGATAGAAAAGAGGTAATACCAGGTGAAATTATGTAAAAAAGTTGATTGTATTATTATATATATAAAAATTGTTAAAACAAATTCTACGGCTATTTTTTTTAAAAGTAGATTTGAAATTAAAAAAGCAAAATTGTACGTTTTTCGCTTTACTCTGAACAAATGTTTTAACAGTACTGATCCGGTGCTGGTCCTGTGACAGGGCACCTGATATAAATGAGACATGCAAACACACAGAGCAGACTGGAGAGTGGAGATCCAGACTCATATTGTAATAATAGGCACATGGAGGAAATGCAATTCGTCAGACTCCTCTTCTTAATGGGTCTTTCCAGTTGCCTGTAAAAACAAAAAAGAAAAGAAAAAAAACATTAAATATTAGTACAAAGAGGCAAAAAGTATCTGTGTATCATTTGTTCATTAATTTTTCAATATAAAACCAAAAATAAGAAAACAAAAATAAACGACTGTTTTCTTCATTATTTGTGCCCAAAACCGAAATGAAAAAAAGGATAAAGATTTTTTTTTTTTTCAGTTTTCTATTTTGTGTTTAAATGAATAATGGAAAAAAACGATAACGGACGTTTCCTGTTTCCGTGACTTAAACTGTGATGCCGGATTTTTGTGCCACATACAGACTGAACCAGGACTAAAACAGTCCTGGTCTTGGTCCTGGTCTTGGTCCTGGTCTTGGTCCTGGTCTTGGTCCTGGTCTTGGTCCTGGTCTTGGTCCTGGTCTTGGTCCTGGTCTTGGTCCTGGTCTTGGTCCTGTTCCCGATCTCAGTTCTGGTCTGGTCCTGGTCCTGGTCCTGTTCCCGGTTCTGATCCCGGTCCTGGTCCCAGTTCTGGTCCCGGTCCTGGTCCCGGTCCTGGTCCCAGTCCCAGTTCTGGTCCCAGTCCCGGTCCTTTTTCCGGTCTCAGTTCTGCTCTGGTCCCAGCTTCAGTCCTGTTCTCAATCACGGTCTGGTCCTGGTCCTGTTCCCGATCTCAGTTCTGGTCTGGTCCTGGTCCCAGTTCTGGTCCCAGTTCTGATCCCGGTCCTGGTCCCAGTTCCAGTTCTGGTCCCGGTCCTGGTCCCAGTCCCGGTCCTTTTTCCAGTCTCAGTTCTGCTCTGGTCCCAGCTTCAGTCCTGTTCTCAATCACGGTTTGGTCCTGGTCTAGTCCCAGCCTTAGTCCTGGTCATGTCCCTGGTCTCAGTTCTGGTCTGATTCCCGTCTCGGTCCCGGTCCCAGTCTAAGTTCTGGTCCCAGTCCCGGTCTGGTTCCGGTCTGGTCCTGGACCTGGTTTAGTCCTGGTTCAGTCCTGCATCACAGTTGAAGCCACGGAAACAGGAAACGGCCATTATCAGATTTTTCCATTATTGATTTAAACACAAAATCAAAAACTGGAAAAACAAATCGTTAACCATTTTATCATTTTGGTTTTGGAGACAAATAATGAAGAGAATAGTTTTAATTTTTTTCATTTTCTTATTTTAGGTTTTATATTGAAACACGAATGAACGAAAAAAATAAAAAGGTTAATTTGGTCCTTAAAATTTTAAAGTCCCAATTTGCAACCGTTGTATTTTCCCAAAGAAAACATCACTAAATGCTATTGTGGTCTGCAGTTTTATAGTATACCAGCTTAAAGGTCCTATATTACGGTGCTCAAAATTGACTCTTGTGACCTTTAAATCTGTTTGCTTTATGGGTCCAGTTTATTTGAGGGAATTACTGCAGCCATTTACTCCACCAGATCCCTGAGATCAGCCGACCAGCTCCTGTTGGTCGGACCCAAAACTAGACTCAAGACGAGAGGTGACAGAACAACCTTCCTCTTCCTGTCAGAATCTCTCAGTTTCAGACTAGACTGGAACCTCACCTATTCTCCCTGACATTTAGGACGAGCTCATCAGGTCGTCTTGTTGTTTTTATTGTAGTTTTCACATGTTATCTGTATTTATATCTGCATATGTAACTGTTTCTTCCATTTCATTGACTTGTATGTGAAGCACTTTGTTCAGCTGAAGTTATTTTAAATGTGCTATATAAATAAACTTGAACTGAACTGAATTTAACCACATTACAATTCTGTTACCTGCTCAAAAACAAACCCAGAGTTGTGTTTTATTTCATTCACACGTTTGAGTAATCCTGTATCCCCTGAAGCGCTAGTTTTCAAGTTAACAGCTCCTTTTACCTTTTGTTCAGCGGAGATAAGGCTGAAATGAACCAAATTATTCTAGTGAAAGTGTATGAACTTCCTGTATTACATCAAAAGGTGGAACAGAGTGTTTTATGTTTACTGAGGGAAGAACTCAGCCTAAACATGCAGGTTTGTGTGTTAAACATGTGTGAATAAAATAAAAAATAAGACGACTCCAGGTCTGTTTGTGACGAGGAAATGACATTGCAACATAGACCAGAAAAAGGCCTAATATGAGTTCTTTAAGACTGACAGAAAACCAGAGACCACAGGTGAGGCTCATGCTTTTAGTTTTATTGGTAACACTTTAGTTTAGGGACCACATATTAATAGCTAACTAACAGTAAAACGCATAATAAGTTGCCTAATTACATATTTGTTAGTGTTTATAAAATACTTTCAATGTATTTTTGTATCAATGTTTTAAGCCATGAACTGTTTTCTTCCCATTACAGTTGTGGGGATGACAATAGATGCTTCTGTACATACACTGAAATCTTAAAAAGCACTAATATGTTTGATAAATACCAACTAATAGCTAAGGAACAGCTTATAAACATACAAATTACCACTTAATTAGCAATTAATATGTGGTACCTTAACTAAAGTGTCATTGTTTTGTTTTGTTTTTTACTAAAGATGCAATGAAACCATAAAATACAACATTTTCCATTCACTTTTCACATGACTTTTTTGAAAAACTAAGCACGACAGATGAAAAATAGACCAGTCAGCATAAAACGACTTACAGATGGATATCACATGTTAAAAAAAATTAATAATGGAACCACTTCTCTTACTCTACCACATCCACTTTTGTGTTTTTTGTTAATGCCATTTCTGTTTTAAGTTTGCCTTAAACTTGAGTCTTTTGTCAACAATTGTTCATCTGTTATGCAAAACCAACAGCCAATTAAATTAGGTATTTTTAATTATACTATATGTAGAGAGCAATAGACAATTCTGCAAAGCCGGTTCTCATGAAATGTGTATATAAAAAACACCAGCAGAGGGCGCAAACTAAACTGATTTACAGGCAAACAGAGGACTAATGTGATTAGAACAAGGCCGGGAAACTAAGGACTTGAGATTAAAAATTAGAGCAGTGAGGGGCAGGCATTTTGAGCTCTGGAGAGGGAGACAGACAAAAGATATTCAAACTAAATAGACCAGATGTTTTGTTTTTCAGGAGGATAGAATATTATAACATGGTTTAAAGATCAAAAAAGTTGATTTTCTATAACATAGGCCCATTTTAACCATTTCTACATGCAATTAAACACAGGCTACATTCACCTAACACTAAACTGGAACGTAACACAGAAATAAACAGAACTACATCAGGATTTGGAACTGGGCCAAACATGACCAAACCTACTGGTATAAAGTAAACACAGCCCTAGCTAGTTCACATCTGAAAGTATTGTAAACTAGTCTGTCACAATACTAACATTTCAAAATCAGTGCTAAAATTTCAACTCTATTTCAATACTAAGGAACAGGCTTGATACAATGTAATATTGAGCAAAATGACAATTTAAAAAACACAATTTTAAACAAATTTAACTTTCAACACAAAACAATACTTTGTCATCATGTCCTGCACTGGGTCGGGTACCAGTGGGTAAATCAGGGCTAAACCAGGACTAATCTTGGATTTAAGAGAGAGAACCCCCCGAGGCTGTGGAGCAGGGTGTCAGCAAAGGTCAGATCAAGCGACAGCTGCTCTTGCCTCCGGTCCTTTCGCCTGCTGCTACCAGACGGTCAACACGGGCGCAACTCTGAGCCTGCCCCGACAGTCTTGGTTCAGTCCGGGTTTAGTCCTCCTGGTTCAGTTCGGGTTTAGTCCTCCTGGTTCAGTTCGGGTTTAGTCCTCCTGGTTCAGTTCGGGTTTAGTCCTCCTGGTTCAGTTCGGGTTTAGTCCTCCTGGTTCAGTTCGGGTTTAGTCCTCCTGGTTCAGTTCGGGTTTAGTCTTCTTGGTTCAGTTCGGGTTCAGCCTTGGTTCAGCCTTGGTTCAGTCCTGGTTCAGTCCTGGTTCAGTCCTGGTTCAGTCCGTGGCGTGTTTCTTCTGCTCAGAGAATTTGTGTTTGTACTAAAGAAAGCGAAACAGTTTCATTTCATTTCATTTTGTGATTGTAATTCTTGAAGTCGGAACTTTTCAATTCGTATTGTGATGGGTGCATCATCAGAATGCTTTTAATTTGTGTGTGATTTATCTCGGGCACAGGGTGAGTAATGGGTGAAATGTTAACGGGTCTGGGCGGGTGCGGGTTTAACTTTAATAGAATCACGGTTTAACGGGCGGGTGTGGTGCTGTACGGCCGAGCGGGTCTCCAAAAATGGACCCGTGCAGGACTCCCATGTGGTCATATACTAGTTCTGATAAAGATAAAGAAATATCACTCTAAAACTCTTCAGGAAAGGTCAAATTATGGTCTCTTTTATGTGATGTTTTTTAAATAAACATTTGCTAAAACCAGTATTTAGTTTTGGTATCAGATTTTCTTTTCACCACAGTGACAGTGTTGTGATCTGACCTGAGAGATGTCGATTCCGGTGAGTTTCTCCACAGCATTGGGCAGCCTGGTCATGATCTCCAGCACCTCTCCTGCCAGTTTGGACGCGCCGACCTCTGACCCTCCGCTGGAAATCATGGTAACCTTCTGAGCAGCGCACAGGGGCTTGCTGATCTCCTCCGCCATCTGAGAAGAACAAGAACAAGTTTAAGTTTTACCACAGCGTAGGGTGGTGCTGGGTACAGGCCACTAAAACTATTTAATTAGTTCAAGTTTTCTTACACAAATACGGACAATGTTAGATCATAAACTGAAGTTCCTCTGAAATAAAAGGTTTGTTTAATGGTTATATGACTTGCCAAAGGACACGACAACTGTAAGAGAGCTGGGGTTGGATTGTCAACTTTTGGGTCAATGATTAAATTTTCTACCAAGCCACAACCTGTTCTTTACATAGATTTAAGATGCAGTGTTTTTTTTTATTTCACATGTATTAAGGAACTGAATGTATTGTACTGTATTTTATAAACTTGCCTAATCTATGAGCTAGTGCAGCCTCTGCAGCTCAGTGAGTGAATTCTGGAGCTTCTGAGCTTTAGTATGAGGTTTGTCCAGATACTGAAAATGAGAAACTTGTGTGTCCTCCATCTGCAGGTTAAGGCACCAGCAACCCAAGTACAGTTATGACTGTAGCCTTTTAAAAAACATTAAATCGCTTCTTTTTTTAACACTTTGTCATAACTACACTAAAATGATTTCTGCATAATGAATTAAGTCTTGCTTAATGCTTTCTTAAGGCTATTAAGTCTGTGATTATTATAAAGTTTTATCAAGTTTCCATATTTTTCAGACTATAAGTTGCACTTTTTTTCATGGTTTGGGTGGTCTTGCGACTTATATATTGAAATTTTCACACTGACAGCTGAGAGAGGCTCTAGTCTTGCATGTCAGTATCTGCTGCTCCTGTTACTCCTGTACCACTGTCACTTCGTACCCTACTGAGCATGTCTCCTGCAGAAAGAGTGTGTCCTGTCTAGATCGCACCATTACTTCTGTACCACTGAAATTTTAAATATAAGTGACTTCAGTGAAAACCGAAACCATCCTGTCGAGATTCAGAAAGGTCGGAATAATTCTAACTGGAACTGATGCTGAGTCTGATGACAGCTACACAGAAGAGGAAGCGGCGCTCTGTTTACCTCCAGAGGTCGCGGAGTTGCTCAGAAGTGACACCGAGGATGAAGAATTCAATGGATTTAATGATTTGGAGTGAGATGGAGAGTTTGGTAAACTTGTTCTGTTCTGTTGTTTATGTTATATTTATCTGAAGAACTGTTCATATGTGACGTTAACAGTCTGTTGTTCTCTGTTCTATTGTTATTACTATAACTTGTCTTTCAAGATGAATTGTCAGTTCCTGGCCTCTGATTTTATAAAATAAATTTCCCCAAAAAAGTGCGACTTATAGTTCTGTGCCATTTATATACGTTTTTTTCTTCATTACACATTTTGTAACTGGTGTGACTTATACTCCGGAGCAACTTAAAAAATACGTTAATAACATTTTAACTGTACCATCTGTTATGACATATATGAATAAATATATTTGAGTCTAACCAGTGGCAGTTTCTCGAGCAGCAGGTCCACCATGGCTCCATCCTGGTACTGTTTGAAGGCTTCAGCTTTCTTTGACATCTGCTCTGCCTCAGCCCGGCCTTTAGCCTCCAGGGCAAACGCCTCAGCCTCTCCCTTCATCTGCATTCACAAACACACAACTTCATATGAGCTTAATACAGAACGGATGCACTGAGCAGAGCGTTCGGGGTCATACAAGGAATACATTTACAAAAGATATTTAAAAAGGAAATAACCCAAAGAACTCACCCGGATGGACTCAGCCTCTGCCTCAGCCTCCATGATGAGCTGCAGGCTGAGAAAGAAAAGTCTGTCATTAAGCACTGTCAGGTTAAAATACAAAAACATTTAATATGATTATAATGTCGATGTAAAACATTAGGACAGTGATTAATGCGCATTTAAAAATATCAAACTTATATAGTAAATCAAAGCACAGTTTAAGCAGCTTTGAGTTTTCTCTTGCGCCTCATAACAAAACATTAGCTTGATTCATCAGCCGGTTTCCATGAAGTGACCTCGCAGCATTAGGATTCGTTCGCTCGACGGTAGGAGAGTACTTTTTTTTATTTAATCAGTCGCTGCTATTTGGTCGTGACGTATGTAATGCGCCACATCCCATAGGAAGAAGGGCAATAACGTCTTTCCCCTTGATAAAATTCACCAAACATTCTCTTTGTTCCGGCTTTAAATCCTCGATCTCAGAAATCTTTGCCAACACAGAATGTACGGCTTCATCTACATCCATCTCGACCGCTTTGTGAACTGTGTGTCACAATGGTGTATAAAACACTCTAAAGGCTCTATACAGTCAGTTTCACATGATTTTAACCAGTATGTTGTGGTACATTAATGTGCTTAACGGATGTCCGGGTGTTTGACAAAAAAAAAAATCCCATTTGAGTTAACTGATTCAGTACTTTAACGTAATAATTAGACATTTTTGGAATGGCCTGAGCAGACAAGACACTAAAATGACCAATACGGCAAAAACTAAAGAACTACACACAGTGACAGAGACATTAAAGGGCCTATATTACACCGCTTTCTGATCTATGTTGTAATGTTGTTTCCTCATCAAAAAAATACCTAGAGTTATGTTTTGTTTCATTCACACGTTTAACACATAAATCATACTTGTTAAACTTGTATATTTAAACTGTGTTCTTCTCTCAAACTAAAAATACCTTGTGATGGCATGACGCAGTACAAGATCTCATGCACCGTGTTTTTGAACTCCATATACTGATTTGGATGATTTCAGTTTTGGAATTGCCAATCTCTTCTGAACAAAAGGTAAAAGGTAGCTATTAACTTGAAAACTACCACTACACGACAACACAAGAGCAAGAGCATTAGACTAATGATAAAGTATTAGTCAAATATGGGTAAATGAACCAAGTCCAGGTTTGTTTTGAGTACGTAACAACTTTCTGACGTGGCTTAAAGGTTGTATAGAGGATTTTCCAAGGAACGAGAAATCCAGCGACTGTTTGTCCTTTTTCAAATGTTGCACATGCGTGAAACCCCCCCCCTCCCCTACAGCTCCTACGTAGAAACGCCTCCTCCTTACGCCAGAAACAGGTTTGTTTACAGCCGGTGCACTGCACATTACTTGTAAACAACTAACTACAGTGTTGGTTAGGCAAGACGGAGAAGTGAGGAGCGGGGGGAGGGGGTGTGCGGACATTTCGTGCGCGGACGAGAAGTGAGGAGCAGGGAGAGGAGAGTGGAGCAGGGAGAGAGGAGAGGAGAGAGGAGAGAGAGAGGAGAGAGGAGAGGAGAGAGGAGAGGAGAGAGGAGGAGGAGAGAGAGAGGAGAGAGGAGAGGGCGGAGAGGGAGAGGGGAGCGGTGCGCGGAGATTCCGTGCCCGGAGAAGTGAGGAGCAGGGGGAAGAGCGGATCGGGCAGCGGGGAGAGGAGCAGGAAAGGGGTGCAGAGAAGGTTGCGCGGAGATTCAGTGCGAATGAACTAGCTACAACACGCAGCAGCAAGCGGACTCTTTCTTTGCCTTGAAAATGACGTTTTCAGACATAGGATATCGCTTTCGTGTCCTGAAAAACGTTTGACTAGCTCTTGGAAATAAAGTAAGTTTTCATAATAAGCAGAAGTGACCTGTCCAGGAGTAATTTGGCGACCAGTGCCTCAGTCTTTAGACCCTGCGTCTGCTTCAGTCGCGCCATCGCTGGAATGAATCTCCAAGAATCACCTTAGTTTGGCTTCGCTGCTTTTCCCCTTGTCTTCTTCTTTCAGCGACCTCAAAAACAGACTTTTTTTTGCGGCGAACTGCTCCTGGATTCTTGTCGCCATTGCAACAAACTTTGTGCAAACTGCGAGGAAGATATAGGTCAAAAAAAGCCGCTAAGAACTGTTGCGTTGGTGGAGTAAACAGCGTCTGTGCGGCTTGCGTCTGTGGACTGCGTGACAGTCGTACGTAAACCACGTACCGGCGGCGCGCAGGCAAGTCAGTTACGCTAGAAACGTAGGGAGATTGATTGACAGCCTGTCAGCTAACAGATAACGAGGCAGTGTCGTTATCTATTGGCAAATGTTTAGCCCCACCACGTCCAGAGTTGATGAATTTTTATTCTCTTTTTTTTGGTCATCATAATTACAAGGCGACTGTATCTCTATAATGCTATCATTGACAATTTGAAACAAAAAAAATCCTCCATACAACCTTTAAAGCTCACAAGAGTCAATTTTGCATAATAAAGGAACTTTAAATAGATTTATATTTTAAGTGGTGTAATTTGCTAATACTCAAATAGATGGTGTATGCAGCATCTTTAAAAAAAAAACTCCAAAAATTTTGAAAAACACATAAATTTTAGTATTTTTAAGGAGTCCTACAGCACATAAGAGTTAGAAATTTGAATAAAACCCGCTCTCACCGCTGAGCCTCTGCCAGTTTCTCGAGCTTGTATCTCTCGGCGTCGGCGGGCTTCTTGACTTTGGCGTCGAGCTCCTTCTCCTTCCTGATGATCTCCTGCTCCTGAAGCATGATCTGCTGCGAGCGCTCCACCACCTGCACCTGCATCTTCTCCTCCTCGATGCGCTGCTTGGTCTTTGCCACCTGAACCAAAGCACAGGTTTATAATCAAATCCACTTTATTTTTATGGCACATTTTATAAACAAAGGCACTGTGTCACTTTTCTGGTGGAAATCCCGCCACCTGCTTGTCTCCATGGACATTTTATTGCTTTGCCTGGAATGTTCCACAGTACGGCAGTACAAATATTCACCTCCATGGAGACAAACATGATGCCACCAGGTCAAGTAACAGATCAGATCTGTGGAGAAGTGATCATGCTCACAGTAAGAATGCATGATAAGTTTAATGCCATACTGTGTAATATTCCAGGCAATACCAACATCTCCATGGAGACAAGTAGGCTGCTGACCCTCCAACAGAAAAGTTGCAAAGTGCACCTTTATATAAGACTTGAATTAATAATTAATCTAGTTTGGATGAAGGATTTATTTTTTACTGAGGCTTATTTGCAATGTTGACACGTTCAAATTATTTTCAGATTTTTACACAAAATTACTTAATGGGGTGATGCATATTTATCATCAGGAAAAAAAGAAAAATCTGAAACTAGTAAATACAAAAGTTAAATCAAAAACTAGTCCATTAATCAATCCACATCATTTGTCTTTATGTAGAGATTTCTATTGTACCTGAAGCTGGTAGGCCATCTCAGACTCTGCCTTCTTGGTGTTGACCTCCACGTCGTAGGCGGCTTTCTTCAGCTCATAATCTCTCTGAGCTTTGGCCATTTCGATCTCATTCTTGTACTGAGCAGACACCTTCTCCTGCATCGCATGGGCTTCCTGTACAGATTATAGAATATTTCGTTTTCAATTGTCATGTCACTGCTCAGTCTGAAACTCATGTATAGTATGAAAATAATAACCTTTTATAATTGTTTTTATATATATGGGAAGAGAAGCGTTTAGAATATTAGGTTGAAAAGTATTTTACCCTCATGACTGCATCTCTCTTGTACTGAGCCTCTCCAATCCGAGCGTCCTTCTGGACCTGAGCAGTTCTGGCTTTACCCAGAGAGTGGAGGTAGTCCTGGGCACAAACAACAAGTTCATATTTATTAATAAAGGCTGCCGCACACTACAGGATTCATCGATTTATCTTAAACGATTGTTAAATGCGCAACAAAAAGCCTACACCACAGACACGAGGAGAATCTTATGAGAATTTAAATGTCCAATCGCAAAGACTGCAGTGGGATCTGTCTGCGACCACAGGATATAAAGTTGTGAGGGCGATCGCATCTGCTGTTTCCTGTCGAGATTAAAACAACTCACTCTGGGACTCTTAAATGTTCAAAAGGTCAGAGCACTGAACTTCTAGTTTAGATACAAGTCAAACTATGTTATTATTATTTTTGAAATGTGGTGCAATACTTCAGCTACATGATTTTTAATGCACAGAAGGCTGGAGATAAAATACACAGAAAGTTGAGTCGCTATCGCTAATCTGCATCTTCACTTCGATCTGTGCGCTGTGTGGATGTAAACAGACACGTTTGAGATCTATTCTCGCTTTTTTTACTTTTAAAGAACACTTCAAACTGGATTAATAGTGATGTTTTATGGACTGGTTGTCATTATTTACAGAGGACAAATTCTGTGGATAGTGTGGATGAGATGCTGCAGTTTAAATTTACAACTTTACAAGAGGTGAGTAACAATTATTTTCGCAGTTTACCGAGTTTCATGTGTCTCTGTGTCTGTCACCCCATCTGCCGCTGAGACGTATCTGATATTTGGTGGGTACGATCTGACAGAGCAGTTCAGAGTCACACTGACACAAACACACGATGTTACAACCCAATTTGCTAGGGTCAGGGAAGTAACAAAAAAACCAAGGTGGAAAATGCTATAAATTAAGTCATGTTTAATTAACAGGACTGTAAAAGTGTAAATTGACAAAACATGCTAAAATATAAACATAAAATAACCTAAACTAAGAAACAAAATAACAGGATTAACATATAACGAGTTTTGTGCCAAAAAAACGGGTCACGCAGGTCTATACAAAAACGAGTGATTAAACTAAAAGAACACAAACAAAAACTAAGTCACAAGTGCCCCAAAGTAAAACCACATAAACCCACAAACAGAATCGAGTTACAAAAAACAGAACTAAACTAACCAAGTGTTGCAACACAAACAAAGTCAGACACGTACTAGCACAAAAATGAATGACTGACACGAAAGAGACACACACACAAAATGGCAAACTGGATACAAAGACCAGCAGCTCCAAACAGGAGGCTGGAGGCGAGGCAGAAAACACACAAAACAAGTCAAAAAACTGGAGACCTGGGCCGTAACACGTGAGGAACGCAGTGGCATCAAAATCGCACACAAAGACACAAAGTCGGGTCACGCCTCCTGAACTCATGGAGAAGCAAATCGCAGCATAAATCTGGCAGTTCTCCTCTACAGGGTATCCCCGGGTTGGACCACTCCAAATTTAAGACTTTTTTTTTTAAAGACATTTTTAAGACCACTTAAATGAAAATTAAGACCAACGTCGCACCCAATTATGCGGGCGAAAAACACCAGGTCTAATTCTACAGTAATAATGACCAACCAACTATCGGTACTATATCTAGAATCTAAGGCTACGTTTATATGATGACGGTGCTAACAGAAGACACAAAAGTGGCGTAGCGTCTTCACCTTCTATTCTGCATTTAGACGAGCGTTTTCGGGAGGAAATCTGCGTGCATACGGTGACGCAAAAGTGTGTGGAATTGGGTTGGGTTTGCATGTCAGGCGGCTCAGTGGGGACGCTCGGTGGTGTTGTATGTGATGTAAACGCGTACGCAACGTGAGCAGATCTGACCAGAGTTTTGCATCTTGGGCAGTGTAGATGAAACTGATTGTTTACTCATTGCCGCCGGCGCCAAAAACCAAAGTATTGTTTGCGCATACTCCGAAGTAGACGTTTTTTTTCCCCTCCCTCCATTTAACATTGTAAACAGTAAACAAAAAAATAGGCTAATGAAATTTAAGACCTTTGTGAAAAAAATAAGACTCGGACAACATAATTTAAAACTTTTTAAGGCCTTAATTTAGGAACATGAAATTTAAGACTTTTAAGACCTCGCGGCGACCCTGCTGTAATGTATGGCGGCCTTAAGACTACACCCACCCCTAATAACAATCTAACAGCATAATTTTTATCATCACACCGCAAAAACGAATATATAGAAAATAACTAAACTAATTGTACTATGCAATAAAAGACTTCTGGGATATAAAATGTATTTCCACTACTAATAAGGCTAAACAATATGGCAATAAAAATCAAACTCATCCTATTGGTCAGCCTCTGTCATGTTTTGAGTAAGTCACAAGCTGATTTAACCACGTTGAGTTATGGTGAACTGTCAGAAGCAGCAAATGGCTTATTTTAGCTTTTGTGACATATATACAGTGTTTTGCCACGCCCCACATTTCTAGTTCAAAATGCACTGAATGTAGGTTACCATCTGATATGAAACAGTGGATTGTGAGTGATCATGACACAGCCAGCTCACGCTTCAGTCCACTTTGGTTTATGAAGTCATTCTCTGGAACTGAATCAATATCAATCGCCTAAGTGCATTTCCTACTAAAAGAGCCACACACAACTGACAGCATCCTGTGAGTTCAGATCTTATGTTCACGATGTATCAGAGCTCGATTTTTGAATGTATTTATACAGTTATCTATTGCTCATTTGATGTTTTGTGTGAATGAAACTAAACACAACTCAAACACAAACACATGAACGTGATGAGGAAATAACATTATAACAGATCAGAAAATAGTGAAATATGACCCCTTAAACTAAAGTGATTCTAGAGTGTAATTTTACATGAAAAATACTACCAGTGACTATAAGTTGCCCCGGACTATAAGTCGCACTTTTTGGGGAAATGTATTTTATAAAATCAGAGACCAGGAACTGACATTTCATCTTGAAATGCAAGTTATAGCAATAACAACAGAACAGAGAACAACAGGCTGAATAGGCGTTAATATGTTAATGTAACATATTAACAGTTATTGAAATGACATAACAACATAACATAAGTTTACCAAACTCACGATCTCACTCCAAATCACTAAATCCATTGAATTCTTCATCGTCAATGTCAGTTCTGTGCGAACCTCCAGTGATAAACCATAGATCCATGATGTAAACGGAGCGCCGCTTCCTCTTCTGTGTAGCTGTCGTCAGACTCAGCATCAGTTCCGTTAGAATTATTCCGGCCTTTCTGAATCCCGACAGGATGGTTTTCGGTGTCACTGAAGTTCAGGCTTTGTCCATCCATCCAATGACTTCCAGGAGAAATGCATGACGCACCCTCCTGCTCACCTGGAAGCTGTGTTGTCCATCCCCGCTTTCCACCAGTCCCTTACAAGTTTATCGCTCACTCCGAACTTTCCTTCTGCTGCTCATTTACCATTTTTGGCTGAATATTTCACTATTTGCAGCAGGACAGAGGCTTTTTCTGCAGGAGTCATGTGGAGTAGAGCGAAGTGACAGTGGTACAGGAGTAGCAGATACTGACACACAAGCCTAGAGCCTCTCATGGCTGTCAGTGTGAAAATTTTAATACATAAGTCGCACCGGAGTATAAGTCGCAGGACCATCCAAACCATGAAAAAAAGTGCGACTTAAAATACGGTAGCTGGTTTTTACCTGATCATCGTGGACATCCTTCAGAGTGTAGCTGACGACGCCGATGCCCATGTTCACCAGGTCAGACGAGGCCACCTTAAAAACCTGCTCAGAGAACTTCTTACGGTCCTGGTAGATTTCCTGTGCACAAATAAACAAATGTGTTTTATTTAGTTCATTTCCTTTCTTGGGGACAGGAACTTTTCACTGTAGAAAGGCAATGCATATTATAGTAACCAATATGAAACTTACGTTGAACTAAAAAATACCACTTAAAGCTACACTATGTGGAAATAGAAAGGAAATAGAGGAAACTGAAGATTAAAACCAGACTTCAGGACATTCTCCATGGAGATAGATAAGTTTTATGCCATAGAGCATTATTATACAGCCAACAAGAGATATGTTTGTGGATATGCAAGCCCGCTCAGAGTAAACACAAAAAAGATATGCTTTTATTTTTGGCTAAAAGTTACAAACTGACTTTAATTAGTATAAAACTTAGAAAGAAAAATAGAAGAGAAGAGATTGTGAAAAAGAGGAAATGTAAAAAACGGGAAGAGATTAAAGATTGAAGATTAAAGACAAGACAAATTTATTTGCAAAACATTAAAATCCATATTGTTAAAAAATGAAAGAGCAAAGGACTAAATTTAAAATAATCACATTTTAAATAATCCAATTTAAATCCAGTCGAGGTCTAATTATTTCAAATGGTCAATGATCAGCTTTTGTCTCTCTAATGGAGGATCTACAGCCAATCCTCGGTCACTAAAAGCATGTGGTTTGGAGGAGAATTCAAACTTTGGAAGAAGAAATTTGACTATTTACTGTGTTAAATGGCACAGATTTAAAGTCTGTCTGGTTTTATGTTCATATAATTAATCTATAAAACCATATATATTTGTATATCATGAAATGTTTGTGATTGATCAATAAAAAAAAAAAAAAAGTCACACACAAAATGAATTGCAATAAAACCCTGTTCTATCTGTAGTTTAGACTTCTACAAGCACATTCTCAAAAGCATGGGCTTCTTGCATTAGTTAGCAGTTTCTACTTCAGTCTCCTCTCAGATCTTAATGCTCCTGAATAAGTTTACTACATGCACCCTGAACAGAATCCTACTTTTTAAATATAAATCACAAATGGAATCACTTTTAAGGTAAACATGCAAATGGTGCAGCCCTATCAGCCAGCTCTATTACAGAGCGAGAAAGAAAGAAACATCTTAAACAGATTAACCACATTGCCAGTGCAATTATTAACCATAAACGATGACCTCACCTCCACAGTCAGATGAGCGATGATGGCTCTCTGATGACCCTCCAGCGTTTCCAAGGCGATCTGAGCGATCTCCGCCTCCGACTTTCCCATGAACATCTGACACGCTGTCGCCAACATCTCTTTGTTCTGACCCTGGATTTTCACCTGCAGATGAAAATATAAACATGTCGGTGTGCCAAGTATTGATTTGAAAATATATTATGTTTTTCATACTGAATGTATTTTTCTTTTGCTAAATCACATAAACAAATTTTAGCATTTAGATGTATTACTTATGTAACACGAAATCACAAATAATTAATTCTAAAATAGCTTTAAAATGTTCTTTTAAAGGTTTACAGTAATTAATTAAATTGTGGCAATAACGAATATAAATAAATCTTGACACTGATTTTGGTTCATTACTCAGTTAAATGACCTGAGGAAACTTACCTGTGCGATTCCAGTGACAGAGATGGGGACGCCATGACGGGTGTAGACTTTGTCACTCTTCACGTTCAGAGTCAAAGTGTTCAGAGTTATTCTGTCACAACATGAACAAGAATGAACAATAGTTAAACCACCAACCTGGGATTTAGGAAGTACAATATACAGGAAATAGGTCACCTCTGGATCTGCTGAATGCACGGGAATACAAACACCCGTCCTCCAGCGATCATGAGAGGAGGAGACCGCCCACAGCCTGATAAAACACAAAAGAAACAGTTTAAGTTGAATATCTACATTAGGGCAGCAACATAGTAGAAAAATGCTTTATTCTTTAACAACTATGATATTGAATATATGACTGTATTACATGAATACTGCAATAATAGCTCTATTAAAAGGAACTGTACTCTGCACTCTTACCAATAAAAACAAAAAAAGGGTCCAACAATCACAACTGAACTTGGGTTACCAGCGCATGCTTTTAGAGGACGCATGTATGCAGAACACATACACTACATTTATTAAACTGAAATCTAAATCTTACATACAGTTACTTTTTAGTTATGGTGATATACTGTATTTTGCAATCTGTTGGGTTTTGCAAGGTGTTGCTCAAATATGGAAAAAAAAAAATCACCATTATTTGTCACTATTTCAAACCACAATTCCATGAAACTATCATTTGTTGTTCTGTCAAGCTTTATCATGTATTGGTAATATTTTCTGATTCATATTTTAGTATCTAAATGTAGATTAGAAGAGCCGCAGAACAATTTATCGTGTAACCGATCTTTTTCTAATTACAATGTTTTTATACTTGACTCATTACTATCATATTTGACTCAATAAAGCAACAATTAATAATAGTAATAGTAGTAATCTCATTGATAAATTCAACTGCCATTTTGTGTAACAGCGTAAAATGTCCAGAGAGGCGCTTCAGCCAAAACAGTATTGAAAAAGCAAATAAAAGAGCCATTGGCACAACCTGATAAGCTACTGGTCAATACTGGTGAATTATTTATCTTACTATAGTGTCATAATAATTTTGAATGAACCTCCGGTTTAGTATTAAGTATACTAAAATCTCCATTGGTTTAACATTAGGCAAACTAATAGCGCTTTGAGGTTTGGTAATATAATCCAGAGATCTTTGTTAACTTATAATGACAACAAATAGCATACATTGTGCAGCTTTAATTCAGGTGCAACTGTGTGAGCAGTAAAATCAGAGTGAAAGGCCATTCATTAGTCACACTTGTAAACATCACATTCTGCTCCTTTTAAGATCTCAAAATTCCCATGTGTTGCAACTTGTTATAACTTGATCAATTTATTTTATCAACACAACAGATAAGAGCTTACAAGCTTCTGTCAGTCACACTTTTACAGTAGAGCTGCTCTATACTGGAAGAATCATAGAAAGATAATGTTATATGACTGGTCAGTACTGTAATATCAAAATTGCTATTTTTATGTACTTTAGGGACAAAGATACCAGTTCTTCCAACACTTTTATGTTAAGATTGTCTATAGTAGGATATTTAGTTGTATAGTTGTCTTATTTATGGGTATCCTTTAGGACATAATGTAGTCAAAACATTGGGTGTAGTATTTTCTGCCTATACATGGGTCTGTTATTAGTGAGATTATTGATAGTTTGTTAAATAAAAAAGTGCATGACTTAATTTACAAGTCAAATTCAAACTAACAAATACAAACTTAACAGAACCAGTTGTCTAAATCAAGGCTAAACTTGGACTCAGTGAGGAAAATTGTTAATAAAATCACCCATTAATTAATATTTTAATTAAACAAAACTATAGGTTTCTGTCAGAACCTTTGAGTGATTACAAATACTGTATATCTGCATCGTGCAACCCCTCTGTGCAGGATAAAAATGAGTCACGTCCCTTTTAATTTATGCATACAAGGAAATAATCAAGACATATACGCTCCATAAAGTCCAAAAACACTGGCAACAGACTACAGAACAGTACAATTGCTATATTTTAATATAATTCAAGCACAATGACACCAGTTCTTCCAACACTTTTATGTTATAGTAGGTTATTTAGGGTATCCTTTAGTTGTGCCAAAGGACATAATGTAAACAAAACATTGAGTGTAGTATTTTCTGTCTATACAATCTGTCTAAAATACAAACATTACAGAGTAGTTAGACAAGTGGCTTTGGAACCACTTGTCTAAATCAAGGCTAATCTTGGACTCAGTAAGGAAAACTGTTAAAAAAAATCACCCAATAATTAATATTTGAATAAAAAAAAACTGTACATTTCTGTCAGAACCTTACAGTGATTGCAAATACTGTTTATCTGTATTGTGCAACCCCGATGTGCAGTATAAATATGAGTCAAATTCTTCTTAATTTATGCATAAAAGGAAATAATGAAGACATATTAGCCCAATAAAGTTCAAAAACACTGGCAACAGACTACAGAACAGTACAATTGCTATATTTTATTATACGTCAAGCACAATGATACCAGTTCTTCCAACACTTTTATGTTATAGTAGGTTATTTAGGGTATCCTTTAGTTGTGCCAAAGGACATAAAGTAAACAAAACATTGGGTGTAGTATTTTCTGACTATACATAGGCCTATAAAAATACAAACTTAACAGAGTAGTTAGTCAAGTTGTTTTATAACCACTTGTCTAAATCAAGGCTACTCTTGGACTCAGTAAGGAAAATTGTTAATAAAATCACCCACTAATTAATATTTATATAAAAATGAGTCACGTCCTTCTTAATTTATGCATAAAATGGAAATAATCAAGACATATAAGCTCAACAAAGACCAAAAACACTTTCAACAAACGATAGAACGGTACAAAAATATATAGGTAACAACACATTTTGAACGTGTAAACTAAAACTAATACTGATTGTGTCCTAGTACCAGTACACACAAACCCCTATCACAGTAAACAGCTGGTAATGACATGTTTTGACTTACCAGACACCACCATGGCTTCATTTGGTCCACAAGTGTAAAACATGTTGGGTCCTTACAAGTTGAGGCTGTGAAGTACAACAGTACACAGTGATTGTATTGCAGTAGTCAGTGTGAAGAGCGTTCTATTGTGGTACAAGAAGCAGACACATGACCGTGTCAATCATAAAACCAAGAGCCACGGGTCTTTAAAAGCTTTCTAGTGGTGAGGGGGGGTGTCACCTCCTCCCTCCTGCAGCATGCACCCACACTGCCGTCTTTGCTGCAAACTGTAATAACTAGGTCACAAGACGCAGCAGTCATTTTAAGTTACTTCTAATTATTTATTTATTTTGTAATCCAAATCTTTAAAATCTGCCATGTTGTCAATTTTAACTGTTCATCTCGAGGTTAATTTTGGACAGCACTTTGGAATGTAATGAGTGCGTAAAAGTGACTTAATACAGGCTAAGGTTTGATTGATTTTTAGTCATTTTAAGCGACTTCTATTTTTATTCCAAATCTTAAAAGAATCTGCCATGTTGCTAATTTTGTTTATGTGTTAAGTGTTTATCTCGAGGTTAATTTTGGATTGCATTTTAGCGTGTAATGTGTGCGTAAAAGTTATCTTATGTTAACTAAGGTTTGCTTGATCTTAACAAGGATGAACAGATTTCCGAAACAAAACACACATAAATGAACTGATTTAAAGATCTCTGCCGTGACAGTAAAGCTCCAGCAAGCTAGTACTACGATTAGCGGAGTGGAGTAGCGCTAGCAAGGCTGCGCCAATTTGGTTATCATGGAAAAATGCCTTTTTACGCAGCATTTACGCGCTATAAAACAACTCGTACCGCAACGCTTGAGTTTGTTTTTAGAGTAACTTACCGATATGTGTGGAATAAAAGAGTAAAAATACGGATGTCCTGGGTGTTTCTGTTGCTGTCGAGTGGAGTGGTTTCCCGTCGCAAGAATGGCAAAAATGTCTGTTTGGGGAAACGCTGGATGAACACGCCCATTGTGCAACATACTCCCAACATAAAAGATTGTGGCGCCATCTAGTGGTGTGTCTATGCAAAAGATTATTTTAGTGACTGACTTTGCTCTTTGTAATCTGTGCTATTTGTTTAAAATATTTACTCTCTATTACTATTGTTAGAACACATATACAGACAGATAACTTGGGTAAATCCAATAAAATTTAGCATACATGATTCAGTAATAGCATAAATATAAATGAAAAGAAATCAAATTGTGAGCCTATTCATTTTTATTGCACACTTCTCCAAAGATGTGACCTGTAACTTCCACTTCTGCGGAAATAAGCAGGATATTTTCACATATTTTGGGACTGTGTTAAGCTTGCCCCCTACTGGAAGATGGTGATAAAAGTTATTCAAAGTATACTCAGGAGTCACTGGGATTTACTAAAATCTTTTTATGTAATATTTCATGTGGAACAGAGAAATCAGATAAATATCTTTTGTCAATACTGTTGGCTGGAGCAAAGAAAGCCATCACCAGGAAAGGGTTGTGTAAAGATGCACCTGTACTTACTGACTGGATCAAAGTAGTTAATGAAACTTATGACATGGAGAGACTGACATTTTCATTGAGACTTTCTACTGTTAAATGTAACAGATATCGGAGGAAATGGGCCGATTACTTGACTTCGATATGCTAATACTGTGAAGATAGATCATTATTATGTTACTCAGGAGATGCTTACACTAGATGCTCTGAATATTATTCAGTTTTATTGTGGTCTGCATTTTTGTTTTTGTGTAAATGAAAAGAAATCAAACAGTGAGCCTATTCATTTTTATTGCTCACCTCTCCATTTATCTAACCTCTAACTTCCAATTCCTTGTCTCAATGGAGATATAATTGAAGCAACAAACGTGATAAACTCTTTACGAAAAGCTACATTGTGCACCTTTATTTGGGTTAGTCCTTATTGCTTGTAACTTTTAGAACTAGTTTTGTAGGATAGACCTGTAATAAACTTGTTATAGACCTGGTTTTGATCTGACTATACTCATGAGGTTTGGTCTGTGTGAATAGTTTGGGAACCGATGGTCTATAGCCAATATCTCCTGGCCCAAACACACTGACTTGCTGGAGTTTTGTTTTGGTTATCTTTTTTGTTTACTATTGTTGTGCCTTCAGGCGAGACGCTTCACTCATAGTGTCTGTGTGTTGCAACTTTGGCTTCAAAACTTTGAAATTTACAATGTCAAGTTCATAAAGAAAAATGTCATCAAAACATTTATAGGCCAAAAATATTTTATGTAGAGCAGTGCAAGAAACACAAATGTTCAAGTCGCTTAATAATAGGGGTGTAACGATATATACAAGTCTCACAATACGATATCGTCACAGTATGAACACAGTATGTATGATATTTATTGTGATATTGTGGGAAAGCTCACGATTAGGGATGTAACAATATCTAAATCTCTCAGTACGATATTTTCACAATATACATCTCACAGTATGATATTTATTGTGAAATTTTTTGGAGGCTAACAAAAATATATAACATAAATATGCTACTTTTTCCTGTTAAAATGTCTTGACAAGATTTAATCCAAAGAACTTAGACTTAAAAGTGCTTAGAACTGTTATTTCTTAATGTAATCTACACTGGTATGGAGCAAAGGATCATGGCCTATTTAGTTCTCTCTATCTTTTTTTAAGCTATTGTTGCACCATAACTCTTAATTTAAGCAAAGTGACTTGTAATTCGATATACTGTGATGGTCCACGATATTATTGTGAGAACTTTGATGATACGATATCACAATATTTCAGTTATTGTTACATCCCTAGTTTCTATACACAGCAGAGGTGGGACCAAGTCGTTGTTTTGCAAGTTTCAAGTAAGTCTCAAGTCTTTGACCTCAAGTCCAAGTCGAGTCCCAAGTCAAAGATAGGCAAGTCCAAGTCGAGCCTCGAGTCATTGGCCCATAAGTCCAAGTCAAGTCCAAGTCATCTCCTTTGAGTTTCAAATCATTATTTATTTATTTCGGTCACAGGTATATTTTGACATTAATTCACAAACAGTCATATTTAACATACACAGACCGAAAAGGTGCAGGCTGAAGCTTAAGCTTATTATACCTACCCTTTATTCCTTTGTCAGAGCGTCATCTTAACACCAGTTCATCTTCAAAAATACAGCAGGAGGAAACAAACTAATCAGTAACAGAACAACAAAGTCCTACAGCACAAACTAAGTATCATATTGCATGTATCTGTCCAGAGTTAAACATTTAAACTTCTTTATGAAGTGAAAGAAAGTGGTGCACAATTTTAGGTTTTCTGTACAGTTGTTCCACAGTTCCACCCCTTTAACAGATGTACAAAATTTCATAATGTTTTCTAGTCATTTCTAGTCTTTAAACCAAAAAAGTACCAAATATAGCTTAGACTTTTGCTATTTCTATGACTTTTAAGCTAAATTGTACTTATAAAGTCATGGTATATTTATATATGAGTATTTATAGACATACATACTGTTATTCATCTGCACTAAAATGGAGCAAAGGATCATGGTCTATGTCAGGGGTGGGCAAACTTTTTGGCTCGTGGGCCACATAGGGTCCTAAATTTTGACTAAAGGGCCGGACAGAAGACAAGACATAACGTGTGAAGAGCTCGGCTTCATTACATTCATATTCACGTTTATGTAGGACTTCAGACGCGCACAATGCGCTTCAACACTGCTGTGGATGACTCACAACAAATAAATGTGTATAAACCTGTTCCAAATACAGTGCATAACGCTATTCTACTGCCCACCACATGTGAATGAACGTGAGCTTACTGTTATCAAATCTGACTGAAGACAGCTAGAGAATGACTCGAGTACAGTAAAACCAGTCCCTATCATGTTGAACATATTGATAGTAACAAATCAAAGTCTTACCTTGATCTAAATTTGCGTGTGTCACCAGCAGGGGGGGTCATTTGAGAAATATTTTAACGCGGTGGAGTCATACACAGCAGAAATGCTTCAAACACGTTTTTCTTTAACAGTATTAGGCTAATTATGTGTTGTTATTATTATCATTATTCTATTAAAATTATTATTATTAGCTGCAATAGTTGTTGAGGTTGTGTGGTAGACGATACGCACACAAGACAATAATGAAAGGTTGAGGTCTATTAAAAAACAATAAGGCCATAAGCAAAAACAGCAACTACAAAACATGAACCATGACAAAAAAGTTGCTCAAGTTCATATAACTGAGTAAATGTAACTCAGAATTACCCACTGCTGCTGGATCAGGTTCAATATTTGTGTTTTTATCTTATTATTATATGTCTTGTGAAAAAACTGTAGGAATAGGAAGAGCTGTCTGCTGCCCGTGTCTGGGAGTACGGCATCACATTCTAGACTCTGAAAGCTACTTGAGACAAATAAATACAAGTCAAAATAAGTACAGAAAAATAAGCAATAAAATATAAAATCTCAGCTTTGTACAAGAGGTCATAGGAAGACAGTGCAACAATGATGTGATGATTGACAGGACATAGGGTTATCGGTTACAGAAGTGCATAAGTACAATCCTGAGCTGAGTGGACATGGTCTCCAGTAAAGGTGTTTGTGGTAGGACGGTACCAGCTGGTTGGAAAAATGACCAGTCCCATGTACTTCCAGGACAATGTACTTCCAAAAGGTCATTTAAACATGTGCAGTCTATGGCAATACCCAATTTCCTTCATGCAGACTAATAAAGTCATAATAAAATGTATAGTTTTTTTTTCCTGAATGTGTATAAACAAAATAAACTTTAAATAAATAAAAGTTTAAATAATTTAAATAACATTAACTCAATCATTCAAGTTAAATTAGGTAAATTTGAGTCCACTGTCTGAGTGTAATTATAAAGGTTTTTTACTCGTCTGTGAAGCTGGGGCGCTGTTCGCACTTTTCTGGCTCAGACCAGGACCAGGTGAATTTGATGTGCAGAACTCTGCTGTAGAAGACCACAATAACACTTCCACTGAACAAAACTTTCAAAACAGTATGTTATGGCTCCTTATGAACCATCCAGATGTTGTTCTGTGTTTTAAATGTGTTTTTTTTATGTTTTATGTTTTGAAGAGGTCCTAATTTATGTTTGATAATTAAAGGAAAAAAGAAAAAAGGACCAAAGGACAAAAGGACAAGTGAAGAACTGCGTCTTCCTGCCACATGTTATTGTTACATTTTTGAGAAAGTTTCGCTTCCTCTGTCCTTTTGTTTGGGTTATTGGTTGATAATCTGTGGGTTAAAAAATAAAAAGACAGACCACAATACGCAAAAATAGGTAATTTACAAATAATGCAATTTAATACAAAAATAGTGGACAACAGTTAGATCTGACAGTCAAATGAAAAAATAATGAAAGAAAAAAAAAACATCATCCCTATCTCAATCTAAATAATGGCTTAACTGTCATGTGATTTTTTTTTTTTTAAAGCAGCATTTTTAAAGCTTGTGGAAGAATCTGCCTGCAGGAAATCTGACACATATTTCACAAAACTAAACGTGTTTAGTTCCACAAGATTGAGGAAAGGCTGAAGGACCGACTAGAATTTTCAGGATTTTGCCCAGGTCTTGACCATTGATGAAAATCTGGATATCTGCCTGGATCTTCACCAGGACTCTCTCCAGGACTCTCTCCTGGACTTTCTCCTGCTCCTGTTCTTGGTCTGTGTCCTGGTCCTGGACTTCCTGCTTCAGTTGCTTGATCATGTTTGGTCTAGACCCCTCAGTCGAACTCTTCGCTTCTTTGGTTACCTCTTGAGCCTGGGAGCCATTTTTCACATCACTGCAAAATAAAACAATAGAATGAAGTCAATTGTTGTTGTAAATCATTGAAACCAAAAGTCTGCTGTTCTCTGTGTATTTGAAATAAAGAGCAGAACATACTGGAGCTGTGAGCTGTGAGCTTCTGCAGCAGTGTTTGTGACCAGTGTCTCCTGAATGTTCTGGTGACCTGTG